CTCCGATTTTGTACTAGCGAGTCATGACAATTTGTCTCTATGCACAGTTGCCAGTTCATAGTCATCATGATATCCACAAGTGGCCAATTCTCTTAAAGAATTAATATTTCCTATTTCATTAGTCCTCGTTTTAGTGAAGTACCGATTGGGTCTAGAAACTTTCAGATTAATTGGTTGTAGACAACATCAAACATCTAATGATAATTGAGTTTTATTTATAAGGAACTTTTGCCTCATGTATCCTCTGTATTAACCTTCAATCTGCTGTACATGTCACAGCATTTTGGCAAAAATCTCGACTGCAAGTATAATTAGAGGGAAAACTTCGGAATATTGAATAGATTATTCTGTTCAGCAGCTTAATCCGACATACCTAGAAAATCACAATACGATTCTTTATTCAAATTCAAAACGGCATCGTCATTATTACTTCTTAAGGTTTTATGAGATTACTGCGCTTATGCTAGAATTTGACATTTTTTATCTTATTAAAACTTTAGGAAATTTGGCAGCGTTGATATTATGTACTTAACAAGTCTATTTTACAGTCGTTAAGAAAATTTCCATAAACTAGCTCTGACTTTTATAAGAAGAAATATGGGTATTTGAAAACAATTTTAACAGTTTTCATTGTGTCAATCTGTAAGATTCTCTGTGAATAGGCATATAAATGAAGTATCTGCGTAACGGTTCTGTCCAATGATGTGTTCTGGAAATCAAACATATTGTATAAACATAAAGACCACATAAATCTTGAAGTTCTACTAAATTTATCAAAAGCTTTTTTATAGAGAGTTAGAAAATCGATTACATTCATATATCCATTCTTTGTTGAAGGTAACGTTACGAACTCCACGACCGTGTCACCAAATTCTATGACAAGAATGTTTATTCGTCCAATGGGACTTTCAATGGTTCTTCTATATTGCACGTTGAGTGGTCTGGCTGGCGTCTATAATGAATGGATTCTGAAAAAATATTACACAGAATCGCTTCAGCTACAAAATATCTATCTCTACACATATGGATCTCTATTGAATTTAGTTCCGGCAGTGGGAATACCCTTACTGGTCTCGCGATCAATTCGTCAGGTGAATCCGTTTGAAGTTTTTTCCGTCTACACGTGGCTCGTGATTGTGACACAAGCGCTTAATGGTCTCTTTATGTCAGTCGTAATTAAGCACACATTGAACATAATTCGCCTGTTTGTCATTTCTTTTTCATGGATTGTAACAGCTCTTTTATCTGTTTTAGTTTTCCATATTACGTTGAATTTCTACTTTTTGATTTCTTTTCTTGCGATGACTTGCGCTCTCTGGCTTTACTATTCTAAATTAGAAACATATTGCAGCTTTTGCATCTGTTAATATCTCGATGCAGATAATGTGAATTTTTTTTTATTATTAAATTTTGTCTTCACAATATTTAATATCACTCAAGATGTTTGTTGAATTTGGTGTATAGAACAGGACGGAATATCCATGCGGTTAGAAATACGAAATTAACGCTTTACAACGATTCATACTTTTCTGCTATGAAACTCATTATGCAGAGTCAAAAATATTCGAAATTCTTCGTTTCAACATTGGTCTTGTTCTTATACTTTAACCTCATTATGACAATGCTTGGAACAACATTTCTCCACACTTTCTATATAAACACGTTATAACTCGTAATTTCGGGCATTTTTGACTGTGTACACTCCGTTTGTATCAAAAACGTTCTAATGCATTTAATATCTGATTAGTTTATTGCATTGTTTTATTCAACGAATTAAAACTGAATATTTTTAATGAAAATAATATTGCAATTGATATGAACGAAGAATAAATACAATACACATACTTTAATATTACGAGTAATAATACGATGTAGTGTTTAATAATAAATAACAGACCCCAGGTATTATTGGTTCATAGAAAGTCAAGATTTAAAACGTATACAATAGTTATATAGTTGCATTCACTCTGAAGAATGCATTCGTTGCCATGTACATGTCAATAATTGAGTACCTGCTTTCAAGTGAAAGTTTTTAATGTTTTATTTTATCTTCAAAATTGCAAGAAAAATCTTTTATACCGAAAAGAAAAAAAAATAATATTTCAGTGCTGAGGTTCTTATCAATTCTACATTTACAATGTCATCTCGCCCTTACTTCGTATAAAAGATTTTTCTCGCTATTTTCAAGATAAAATAAAACATTAAAAGAAAATCACTGGAAAACTTCTACTGGATTATAAACATTCATCACATGGCAACGAATCCATCCTTCAGATATGAATGCAACAACACAACTATTCTATGCTGCTTAACCTCTGATTTTCTACCAACCGTTTGGTACCTGGAGTGTGTCATTTATTAGTACACACTGTATATTACCATCGCTTGTAATATCAAATTATGTGAGTAATCATCATTCCTCGATAATTTTAAGCATAGTACTAATTTATTGGATTATTTTAAAAATTTGTTCTAAATCAATTATTGAAGTCAAAAAACGTGGAGCGTATGTCGCACAGTATTTTGTTATAGACGAACTACTCACATTAATTTCTAACACAACGAATTAGGAACCTAGAAATAGAAGTTCTTTCTTTGCCATCTTGTGTATCTTTGGTTGATGCATCTTTATATCTCAATAGTTTATGTATTATTTTGATGACAACTGTTGTTGCCTTATATCTTGTAGTAGCAAAGAAACAAAGAATATTGATTCTTTTGGTGAACGCAATCACTCACAGAATTGGATAGATATCTTGTGAAAAGCGTTTGTTCTATCCGATATTATACAATAGACGCTTCGCAGTAAGATTAACACCATTGGTCACACTTACAGCAAATACTTTGTCAATGAATGATCGCGTTTACCGACACATAAATATATTGTATGAAGAATCGCATAGATGTGTCATTAATCGCACTTACTCAATATAAAGGTTTGCTCCAAAAAACTTGCTTTTAAATATGGAACAAATTAAATTTTTTCTCCTATTGTTAAATATAACTTTTCTTTTGATTTCCTAGTCGGTGGTCTAGTACATGAGAGTGTTAGATCTTTCTGTTCTAAAAAGATTGTTAATATTTTGATTCCAATTACGGTACACCATATCAAATCTAATCATTGAAACACGTTCTTACCAAAAAAAGGAATAATAACCAAGTTTTAACAATTACTTGTTTATTGAATATTTTTCACACAAACAAATGCATTAAAACATTGAATTATCACTCGTTGCCTACTAAATACGTTAAAGTCTGTTTATATAAGAACAAGCCCACTTGAACAAGTTCAACATTGATTTATCGTATGAATAAGTTACAATTCGTTTTTTGTCTTCACTTTGTCATCTGAAGGCGTTGTAACATTGTTCAAGCATTTATTTATCCGCATGGGAGGAAATATCTTGACTCAAAGAAAAGTAGTGAAGACTTATTCTTCGTTTTCTCTTTCACAGCTATAGATAAATAGAAATAGCATACATGAAACCTTTTGACAGAAAACCGAATGGAAATTGATTTGTACTGTGGTAAAAAAATTGATTTAAATGATAAGAAGAGCTAGAAAAAAACCTCTTAAGCAAAAATGAGTAAAGTTAAATAGAAGGACCATATTTTTCATATCCAAAGAGTATTGAAAGATTATTGACATGTGCTCAACAACGATATATCATATGTACGACACAAACAACAATATCTTTTTACCATTAATTAATTTCTTTAGTAGTTTCAGAAGAGAGGATTTCAGTCCCATTTTGAAGTAATGCTTCTTCTGTCATTCACAGACTGTAATGGTTTAGTCAAAAATGTTTGTTAGCCATAAAATATGATTGAAATTGAGATAGCGATGCCCAATGTTTGACAGTATAGCTTGACGGGCAGCAGCAAGAGTCCGAAAATCGGCTTTAAACGTTCCAAATTTAAAAATGGTGAGAAGAACTTTGTTTTTCATCCTTAATTAATCATCGGACTTTTGTGTTTTCTCGCATGAGGACATCCAGGAATAAATTGACTTCTAGTGGTAGAAGTCAACTTGATATCATTCGAAATCGTCCTTCCGCCGTGTGTTATGAATCAAAGAAATTACTGGTAATGAACAGAAATTCTCTAAAGTTATCATAAAGAGCAGCATGATGTAACTTTATCGGTGTACTGAGCGTCAACTGTTATCGATATTTTCGGTGTCACTATATCAGTATTCGTACTAATAGTAATCCATTCCTTATAACTGGTAACACAATCAGGTAGATATCGAGAGATTTGATGTAAGAGTCGTACTTAACGACGTAATTAGAAAAGAATGCTAGAGGAGTCCAACACCACGTAACCTTCATATAGAGAGTTTCGGATACTTTCTGACGGGAATTGAACTCCCTCCAGTCTCCATTGGTTACTTCACTAGTGCTGGTCTCCGTATGAATTTTTCATAATAGATCTTGCTCGACCTGTAATCGACCAACAGTCTGCATTTGCTTTTCGATCAAGTTCTGGTTTTCTTTAGATCAATTTGAAATAAAAATAAACGATTTACTATGGCATACATGTGATGATATTGTCGTCGCTATTCTTTTTCTCATGTTTTTTGAAAGTGACACAGACAAGATGATAATACTGGTAGGTTATGACATAGAGATTTTTTCGCTCAGTGAATCATCAACCAGCACAATAGAAAGAAGAAAAAGAGACTCTAAATGCATACCTGACATAGTAAATTATCAATGCATATTTGAAAGATATTCTGAAGAAAGTGAAATTTTTAGTGAGACGCAAACTCTGGTTTTTAGCAAACATTTTACAAAATAAGAATAGTTCATCTCAGTTGAATTTCGATATGACTTTTCTCAATCAATATCAATGAAGCATTTTTCGTACTAATTCGATGATGTTGAATGCTTTCTATTGGAGCAACCTATGCATCTATTATTTAATGCAATGTGATCTTAATTTCGCCAGCCGATAATCAAAAATTAAAATCATTCTTATATTTTTCAACTACACAACATTCAAATCATGTTAAAAATACAAATAATTGACATTGTATCGGCCTTATCATCCCATCGCCCGCAAACTTGCAGATCACCCTGAACACGTATTTGTTTTTTTAACACACCATTCTTGTATTCATCTTTATAGGGCACCATATATTCATCACCGTTTCGAATTTTGAGTACATTAGCATTTGGTATTATCATATGTATCAATACTTGTTCATTTCCATGTACAAGACGTTGAAAAAGCTCGATCAAAATGCAACAGTGCTCTGTAAAAGTTGCATATGTGATTGGAAACATGAATGCATCTGCTATGTTTGACACATGCAAACACATATTGATTGCATCTTTATACGTAGTTTCATCATTCATTTTTGCAAAGATAGTTACTTCGTAAAGACCATCAAGAGGTGGAGTAATATAGCAATTATAAACATCCGATTTGATTTCATCTCGTTGACATAATGTGTGCAAATTGCGTGGATATTCAATATCTCCAACTTTTAATGTAGCAAATAAATTAACATTTGCGGGTGTTCTAATAGCAATTTTAAATAAATTCTGATTTATTTCATTTAAACCTTGCTTTGGCGATAGCAATGTCAAACCAAGTTTATAGTAAGTCGATTTCATTACGGGTAAACTAAGAAACTCTTCTTTGATGATTTCTGGCTCGAATAATTGATATCCATTGACATAGTGTGTATAAATAAATTCTTCAGGTGATGTAAGAAAGTAGAAATCTTCAAGTTTGTTGTCATTATCTCTGCCTTCTGCGCCCCATGTGGGATCTATTAGATAAGTGTAGTGATCGAGGACAATGCTATTCCAAGCGTGAGGTGACTGTTTGAGCTCTTCACCCGGTTTAAGAAAAGCTTGCTTAGCATAGCCTGCTATTTCAGCACATTCAATACCTAATAGTGAGCAACATTCATGATAGAGACTAGCAAAGCCTCGACAGACGCCTTGCCTTGCACGAAAAACAGTCTCCGCAGCATTGGCCTTACAATATGGCTCATATTGGATATTTTGACCTATCCAACAGAAGAGTAACCATGCACATTCTAAATCGTTTGTCCCGTATTTTTTTATTTCAATAGCAAGATCAGCTATTGATTCTATCGATGACCATTGTTGAACGACATCACGTAATCGCTTATTAGCAACGACAGCATCCCGCTGTTGTCGAAAAGCAGAATCGATACGTGTCTTCCTAACATCAGCAGCAATTTTAACTTCACAATTGGTAGCGATAATGATGGGTTTTCGTTGATGTCTAGCAGGGAGACCAGCAGCCTCTATTGGATTTTTCTGTTGCGCAAGAGCATCGAACACTGTTTGTTTGATAACATCTCGTAATAATGTGGATTGTTGTTGCACAACTGTATCGACTAGCACTTGTTTTAGTTCAACGAACAATTTATTCAGTTCATTGGAATCATCTTTCTTCTTAGTGACATGTTTCTGGATTGTTTGTATAAGAGTATCTTGCAAACGGTCAATTGTGCCAACGTTAAGTGTTGTCGATTGATAAACATCATTACTGTTAATAAGGCTATTTCGTAATTCTTGTTCAGCTGTATTAATTAGACTGTTTTCAAGTCGTTCAAAGCTTGATGATAACTTTTCTTGTGAATTTAATGTGCTACGTATTCTTGGTTTCGTGGAATTCGTCAGAGAAGAGCCACTATTGTCGTCTCCCACGAAAGGTACTACAGGCGAAGATGTTCGTTCTCTGAGTCGATGAGGCTTCACATGTTGAGTATCGGCTACGGTTGTTCTTCTTACAGACTCTTTATCTTGTTTTTTCGGTATATGACTCGCTGGTTGGCGTTGATCACCGACGGCAGGTACTTTACCATAGCGAGTTGATCTTGATGGTGATGACTCTGGTGTCAGTGAACCATGAATGATAGACGAATGCTTCGGTAAAATTGATGCCGGTCTAGTTGGACTGGGTTCAGAGGGTTGTACAGATTGTTCTACTGCTTGGCACAAAGCGTCGATTTTATTGAACACACCCTTTACTTTCAGATATGCTTTCGCCCATTGTTTATGATGAGCTTTATTGTGACAGAAAATAAAGATAGAATCTATGTGGGATGCATCATGAATAGCTGGTACTGTATTTTGACCCAAGCCACCGGACACTATCATAACGATTTTCTTATCAGATATTTCGTAGAGAAAATTAACAAACAAATCGCTTTCCCTGAAACTGTCGATGGAACCGAAAACACTTTGTAGAAAATGGAATGATTGGGGAAAGTTTTTCTTGAGTTCATTGATTTCATCCGCTAACCAGATCAAACGAAAATTATTGGCGATAGACCCTGTGCCGCTGGTACTCACATATGGCTCAGTAAGATACGACGCAGCGCCTTTGAAAAAATAAGAAATTCATTGACTGTTTCTTTACTAGTAGCACTCGTACCCGTTATTAATTTTTTCGTGTCCATTTCGAAAAGAATCTAAAGAAATGTAAAACCAATCATATACCTGTCTTTACCGCAAAACCTTCAGAGCATACCTATCCCGAGATTGTAAAGACCACTATTCTATTTTCGAAAGTCTTCAATGATTTATTCGACACGAATTAATGGGTTTTAGACTATATGCATAAAACTGAATGAGCTCTATCGAGTACATCCAATTGAAATGTAGTTTGATGTAGTTTTCGAATCCGTTTTTCTGGAAATACTGTCTTGCAAAATTTCCTTATTATCCGAAAATTGCGATATTTCTCTTGACACAACACATCCGTGAGTCATATTTCTGTGCCACTACTAATGCGGAAAATTAAATTATTGCTGCTCTCTTTATGTTAAGTTAAACGTTCTCCCAAACGTTAATAGACTATTCTGTTCCGAAATTATTGTATTAATTAAACTCATCAATATGAATAAAAGAGAGGATATATTAGTCTGGGTAGGGATCTGACTTTGGATCTCGATGTAGGTGTGAGTGTATGAGTGTAGATGACGATGCGTCTGTGTCTGAATCTGGACTTGAGTGCGAATGGTGCCAGTGTGGTCTGCGCAGATCAGAGTCGATCTTGTGTTGGTGTAGGTTGTGGGTGGGTGTTGATATGAGCGTGACCATTTAGGTGAAGAGAAGACACTGATACACAACTACAGCTACATCTGCGAAGATCTCATGCACAAAAATATCGTTATGGAAGTATCGATGCAAAAAAGTCATGCACGGAAATGTCGGTGAACCAATGTTTCTAGATATTAAATATTTTCTGCTATTTTTGTTCATAAATTTGCATATATCATTTCGATGTATTTGGGATTATAATAGAATTCAGAAACTGAATGAAGCGCTTAGTCTATCAAAACTTTAACTTTGATTTTTCTCAAAAATTTCTAGGATCAAGAAAGTCGAAAAAGTTTTCCCTTGCATTCCAATTGAAAGAAAGCCTCATCTGATATAATATCCGACACTGATAACAAATATCGGATTGCTTTTATTTTTATCCTGGTTCAACCGAAGAGTTTCGAAAGAAAGATAAAACTCCATACCCCAGTCAATCGTTACAGATTACCGTAGCAGTTACCGTAAGAGAGTGTTTGTATGCTTTATTTCATTATAACACGTTTCAAGACAATGTTTATAGTTACTGAGAAGGCCAAAAACAGCACTATATGCTGTGGTTTCGTACAGTTTGTAGTTATCAGTAGCTGTAAATTGGTGTTTAGCAGGCGCAGTATCACGACTCTATTTTATCGTGTTGTACATAGGTAATAGCGGTCGTCAAACGATCTAAAAAATGAGTATCCGACCGTTTACAATATAATAAAATACGGTCGTGGTACTGTGTCTACCGAATGATGAAAAAGTCATCTAAAATGACTATGCTTCCTTGACGAAGAACCTATTATTACTGGTCGTATACGGCACCGTACAACGTTATAAAGATGTTCTAATCCTGCCATATTAATGATCTTGCACGTGGACCGGAATGTGATCCCGTTAACATGTATGATTTCACCGTAAATGATTGTATACAAATCGTATTCTTTGATCAGAGTAATGAACGGTATTTTTTATATTTTACTCTATGCAATTATACTTACTAAGGAATGATCTGATATTCTGAAAGCTTGTTGAAAACTGAACAATTTTTTATATACAACGTGTAGTTATACATCGCTGCAGTTCCTAGTAAAATGCAGACTTCTTAACTCGTTAAAAAGTCGATTTTTTGAAAATCTGTAAAGGTCGACAATTCTCGAAGAGCTCAACTGTGTTTCACGAAAAGCCAATGGAATTTTTCGTAATAGTATATATAGATTGTTTCTATCTATGATAAAAATTGTAGATAGTTTATTGGCATTCGTGATGGAATGCGCATTTTGTAATGTTAGAAAATGAGATTCCGTAATGTTTGATGACGCCGATATATGCTCAAAAGCAAAATCTTTGATATTTGATAGGTTTTCAAATAAGGTTACATAAAAATGAGTATTCATATGCTTTGATATACAAAAAAGAAGTAATGATAAACAATCAGCATGAACAGTCTAATGATATGTATCTTGCTGGACAGACTCTCTGTTCTTCTTTACATGTGTTCAAATAAAATAACAGAAAATAACTCAACAATAAGATGAAATAGACTGAAAATGAAAGATTTTTTGAAAAATCTCATAAAAGATTTCGTTCTTATTTAGTTGTAAAGGTCCTTAGAAAAGTAAAATAGAATATTTCGTCGAGCAAGGTAGACCAGTTTAGTTTAGGATACACCAAAGCACGGTTGCTTCTTACCTGAGTATTGTTTTTACGACCTCTTACTGTCGTAATTCATTGTTCTCTGTTTTATATCATGATGACTACCTGTTCTCTTAACTTTTCGTTTGTCTTGACTCGTATAACGGGAGACAGAGAAATATGAGGTTATAGACTGATTAAATAATACACAACAACGACTATCTATGTAAACCTTTACTTTGGACTAGATAAGAATTTTTTCATTAAACTACATCAAAAATCTTTTCCTTGGTGTGATAAGTTTGAAAAACATTGTGATGAGAAGCATTCACAGATAAAGAACTCTAGAATTATAATTTATAAGTAACCAATCGTCTTTCTTTTTCAATCTGAATTAATATGGAACTGGTGCACAACTTTTTTAGTATTAATAATAAAAACATCATTGAAATTCGTCGAAATTCGATGACTTGTACGAATGTTTGCCTCATTGTGTAAATGCTCTGCACCTGTCAATAGGCCGGTCGACTTAGCTGGCTAGTACTTGAAAAGTACTCTTTGGTAAATTGATAGCCCGACAGAGTTGTGAGCAATCCGAAAACGTTCTGTTATTCCATGTTTCTTCTTGTGCAACGAAGATGTTCTTGAAGATTATGAACATATTTCAAAATCTACATAACTTTAAGAAATGAATAATCTGTTACATTGAATTCGGATACTAAAAGTATTACAGCAAAAAATCTCATTTCGGAATTCGACTGCCACAATGTAACGCAGTGATCTGAAACCAATGCAGGAGACATGCATCAAAACAGACATATGAGATTTGGTTGAAGTATCCACTGACCACTAATTTGTGACACAGATTATTATCTGAATGATTCACTTCAACAATGACTTATGAAATGATGAAAAGTCCTTCGCTTTCCAATCGATCTTAGTTCGAAGTATATTTCACACATTGAATGACAGTGAAAATGGTTGCACCGTTCGGTTTCTTGAAAACAAATTTTGTGATGGTCAATCAATAGTTATGTTTCAATCACAAGAATACAAATTATATAGCTCACGCTTATAAAAAATTGCATTAGTATCAGTTGACACAAGTTCAAAATGACCGTGTCGTTTGTGGCATAACACATATTGAATAAGAACCTTTGTCGATCTGTTTCAAGATAATTTATTTTGAAAATATTATTTCTCAAAGCCCCTAGATTTGAGTTCAATCTTAATGGAAAATTGACAAATAAAGACATACTGAGCAATGATTCATTTTAAATGATCAATATCTAGTCAACTGATAACTATGCAAGAAAAGAAAACAAAGATGTTTGTTTTTGTTGAGAATTTCCTTTTTATCTTTGTTGAAAATCGAGCGAACAAATGTATAGAACCATAAGTATAGGTGTGAGATTTAAACGAGAAGAAGAACTATATCTACATCCAAACTTATACTCGCACCCATATCCTATCATTTTGTTAATATTTTTTTTCGCTTCGATATTTTTCTTTTCGATCTTTCTACCGCTAACTGTATCGATGAAATATTATGGTTTTGTAGGCTAGGGAAGCTTCTATATTCTGAAATATACCTAAGCTCGAACGATTGATGTAGCGGGAACATAACATGAAAATACTGAGTAGACCCATTTTCAGTAGTACCAATGGCTCCTAAAACAGTGTTTCAACTCGTACTCTGCACGGACGAAACCAAGTGAGCTAATATTTCGTATTTGAGTATGATCGAGCCATACTATCGATTGAGATATTAAAATCAAATGTGAATATTTTTCCACAATTGACTCTATGAAACATAGCGTAGTTCTATGGTGGACCTCTCCACAGAGCTTCTTATGAAACCATTGGGTCAATTCGATATTTGTCGTAATAGGTGAAAATTTTTATTTAGACTGCATGAATAAAGAAGCAAATCAGAAGGAATCATGCGTTGCATCTTTTCTCTTTCAATGCACAGATCTTTCGTCGTAGTTAAGGAGTGTTAACAGAACATTATCTAATGACGTGTCAAGAAAACTATACAATCGCCACATTGATCTTTTGCATCGACTAAGAATATTGCAGATGTGTTGCTCTGGAATTTTTTTTCTTTATCAAGCATGAGAATATTTTACGGTGGTCGAACGTTGTTAAATAGTTTCTTCAATTTTCAACGACAACATACAACTGTGATTTTTTCGAAGTTTACTGCAGCTTCGCGTATATAAACATTTTTTCCTACAGTATATACTATTATTCTCTATTCATTTCGTACAGCAATAACGTTATACAATGATGCGCTAGTCTTAGAGGCAACAATCTAGGAAAAGTCCAAACAAAGTGAATCAGATATGGAGGGTCATTACGATATTTTCATTAATGCTCCAGGTTATAACCAGTCTCTCATTCACAATATTTCAGGACCAAGCACTGTGTCACACTAATAAGCAATATGAACGATCAGTGAGTTTCTTTGAGTAGTCAACTAGTCAACAGTGAGAATACTATTCGTGAATGCAAACTATGATGGTGTCCGGTTGTATCACACACAGTATATGTCATCAGCATTAGGAAGCTATATAATGGAAACGACATGTATTGGTACTACTGCTTCGACTGCAGATTATTTGATGTTCGACTACGTACAAGAATATTAATACACTCTATAAATTGATTTATTGTCATTTGACATGCTATTACAAAAGTTTTCAATTGAATATATTCATAAACAGTATAGTTCTTGTGATTTTGAATATTATGAGCATATCTTTGCTCTGACGATCTGTGCTAAATAAATATTGCTAAGAATTCACGCGGAGTTGATATGCATGAGTGGGTGAAGAGAAGACTTCCATCCAGACCCTTGCAAAAATGGAAATCAAATATGTCAGCTAGATAGTAATGGGTCTGATATGCACTCCTCAAATCGACAATGGTATGCCGACACCTTTTTGAGGTTTTTATCCAAAGTTTTGGTGACCATCAATAAAATTTATTTGATCAAAATCTTTTAAACATTAATTTATGGAACAAAGGATATCATTGTATAGGTTTGAAGCAAATGATGAAGAAGAAAAAAAGTGTTGGTGCAAAAAATAGAACGTTCTGTGAACAAAGTTAAGAAAAAACAAATATTATATATTATATATTAGTTTTGAAGACCAAACCTACCCATTGAAATAAAATTTTAATAGATTCCATGTCTTTTACCTCTGTTAGTAATATATTTCTGATATCTTAATTTCATAACAAAATAGAAAAAAAACAAATATGAAACTGATAGAAATATACAAGTAAGACAAATTAAAAAGAAAAACGCAGATCTATCGTTCTACAAGAGATTTCAGCCATTCAATATGTATCGATACGTTAGTTAGGGCTGAATATGCTTTTTGAAGACCTGTTTTTGACATAACGCCTGCAAGATGCCAACGATTATCATTACTAAATAACATAGAACCTGCTCCAGAATCACCCTTTGAAAAAAACATAAATGGAAAAAATTCAATTGATACTCATTCAGAACAACTTACCATGCCTAACAAACTCGAATTGTTTGTACTAATTGCACAGAAAGCATCTTCAGCAATGTCGCCTAATTGTCGTTGACATTCACTTTTACTTTCTTGATTATCAAGTACACGAATATCTAATTGTTGTTGAATTAAATTTTCATCGGTAGCACCATACGAAACTACTTTTAATGTAGTTTGATCTTGAATATTAAAAATAGTTGGTAAACAAATCCAATCAATATTTGATGAACGTTCTATACGTTTAGTTAATTTAATTAATGCAACATCATTTTTTACAGTAGCATCTTCTGAACCAAGAGATTGATATCCTGAATGCTAAGAAAAAAAAGAGAAAAAGATAACTTTCTGACTTTTTCTTAGTTAATGATAATAAAACACAAACTAAAGTAAAATTTGCAATTGAATGAGATTGACTTTGCATGAAATCAGTACTGTTCAAACTAAGATTATGTACACCAATACGAATATCAAATATATCTTTAAATGAACTCGGTTCACTTGTTAATTCCCATTGTCTAATTTTAAAGAAAAAATAAAAAACAAAATTATTTAATTATAATATACTTTCGGAAATGTTGCTCATCAAGACAATGTGCGGCAGTAATAACATTCCAACTAGAAACAAGAGTAGCTGAACAAACATAACGTGGTTCACTATTATAATAATCTTTTTTAATTAACAAGGCAGCTATCCATGGAAAACGTCCTGATTCAATCGGTTGTCCATCAGTCATACGTGTTCGTCGAGTATGATTAGTCACTAAATGAAAATTATAAATCATTGCTTATTTATTTATATTCTTAAGAAACAAAAATTTCTAATCGAATCACCCTTTTTAGATTTGATTTTTTTTATTGATTTTTTAATAGCATTTAATCGTAAGCTAGTATTAGAAATAGCAAAGGAAGACATTGTCGTTGGTAAATCAGTTGTCATGAGTAGATTAGTAAAAGCAAATGATAACATACCGACTGATCTAGGATTTGCATAATCATAACCACATTCTAAATAAAAATGAATATTTCATTTATTCTGATTTTTTTTTAAAATCCCTTACCAATACATTCATTTGTTATCATATTCATGCAACATGCAAATGATCCATTTCGATCTTCACATCGTGAATTAATATCACAAGTTGTATTTGATTCAGCACATTCATTAATATCTATTTGTTAAAAAAAAATTAGAATATTTATCAATGCGTAACAAGTTTTTATACTTATGCAATTGTCGTGTTCGTTTCGTCGATATCCATGAGCACAAATACATCGAAATGAACCATCTGTATTTTCACATATTTCATTATCACCAGTACAATTATGTGGTGATAAACATTCATTGATGTCTATAAATAAAATATAAAAATGTTTTGTTTGATTTTTTTTTTAAATAATTTACCTTCGCAATGTAATGGATTGAATACATCGTGCATAAAACCAGGATTGCAAACACATTCAAAACTACCATTTGTATTAATGCAATACCCATTTGAACATATATGATTATCGATACATTCATTTTTATCTGAAAAAAAAAATGTTGAATAAAAGAAAAACTATATTTCATTTATACATAGTTATTCAAATTTTCTTATTGAAAAGATTGTGAAATCGACTGTAATCTCTTAAAAATCTTATCAATTCTAACAGCTAAATTCTCTCTATGGATTTTATATATACAATGTGACATAGTTTGAGAAAAACTTAAATATTTACCTTGACATATAATTCCATTAGATGATGTAATTGTTTCATAGCCATTTTCACAAAAACACTATAAACACAAAATTCTTAAGACAATATTCTACATTAGGAATAAACTCACTGTATAACTTCCAATAGTATTATTGCATACTTGATGTTCTCCACATATTCTTGGATTTTCACATTCATTAATATCTTGAAGTAATATTAACATATAATTAATATGTTCTATACTAATTTATTACCTTCGAAATGTATGAAATCATTACTTATAGGTGGATGCTGAAAGCCCGTTGTACAATTACATTCAAAACCAGTTCCATTAAGTTTAATGCAAGGAAATTGTCCACATACAGATGGTTCAAATTCATGTTCATTAATAGCTATCAAAACCATATTTAAGAAACAAAAGCTAAAATGTTCTTTAGCTGAACTTACATTGACATTCACAATGAGTGGAATTTAATTTAATAAGTTTTTCACTTGGATCACATAATAAATAACAATCCGTTGCTAATCAAAATGAATATTGAAAATAAAAAGAAATTCAAATAAGATCAATATTTTTACATTTATGTTTCGAACGGAATACAGTAAAGCCAATAATAACACCAATAGCAGCAAGAACAATAAGTATTAGAAGTACAAATATATACCAATATTTCGAACATATTCTAAATACTATATATAATTACAGCTATTATTTAGACGTAAAAAAAAGAACTATTAACCTTTTCGATTATGATTAGTTTTTTCAAATGACTTTTGAGAAGCATATACATTTGAATTCAGTGATCGAGTTGAAAGTCCACGCACATCAATACCACTGATGTCACTTTAATGAAAAGATAAATGAAAAGATTAAAAAAAAATTAAATATATTCTCAAATACCTAAATGCTGCATTGCTATAAGCATATATACCATCTTGACCGGGTCGAAATGTATAAATAATATCATTTTTACGCTTAGGTTTTTTTAATTCATTTGGTTGTAAAACGAATCCATTACCATGAAGGACAGCATCACGCGATGAAGCTGCGTATGGATCACTGATATATGAAATACGATCACGACCATCCGATATATAACTTAAATTATCAAAGTGTTGTCGTTGGGAGTAAGTGTCGTTCCTCATCTTTCGGCTTTGTACATGACTAGGAAGAACTAAAAAAAAAGAAAAGCAGAGTATGTGTATTAGATAACACCATCGATACATGTGTAACAATGATAACTTAACTATATAGGTTTTAGTATTATTGTTTGTGTTTTTCCTGCTCTAAAATGTTGGGTATATATTGATTAATACAAATCAAATAATTGTATCGATATAATCTTCATTTATAGCAGAAAAAGGGTAAGACAACAGATGACGTATCGTTTTACATGCTCACCTTGCTTATTTCAAACTTTTTTTTTCTACCCTTCATTCAATATAGTCCCGTTGTTAGGTCAAATATGTGAAGAAAAATGTGGAGCGTCCGCACTCAGCGCGAGAGAGAACAACGTTCGGATGAATGGAAATAAGAACGGTAAAAATGAAGACGAGTTTGAAAAGAGCGCACACGCAAAAGAGAAAAAAAAAGTATTTAGGCACTTGTGTTTTACTCGGAGTGTAGAACAAGAAAAAATTTGAACCAAAGGAAAGAAAACTTAACTTCGAAAAAAAGAACATTGAATAACTGTCGATATAGTCTTACTGTTCTTTTGATTTTACATCCATTTATCTTGCACATTGTTTAACGAAAAGAACGAAAAAAATGGGAGAGTGTATTCACGACTGTGTTGATTGAATTCATCTATTCTCAACGTGGTACAGTCACTATAGTTTGTCGTTTTCTTTTTGTCACGAATTATTCAACAACACGCATATGTACTATCGAACAGTTCAGATACATAATACGTGAGTGCCTATTGCGAGTATATTTCTATGAATCATGACTCATTCAGCTGAGAAAAGAAATAAAATGACTCAGCTTCTTTTTTTTAAATATTTGCACAGAACAGTATGCGAGTTTAACTGTGTTTTCGACTAAACAATGTTTATCTTTCTTATATCTCATAATTTACAATAATTTATCTAAATACAAATTTTTGAAGCTTTTGATTATGTAACTCTCAGTATAGAAGAGAAAGAGTTTCTTTTTTTTTTAAATAAATACATAATGAAACATGTAGTATTAGAATTCTTGTAATATATATTTATTGAGATTTTACGATTGTCACTGTAATATGAATGTAAAGCATTTTGTGTCAAAAAAGACGTTATGTTATTTTATGAAATTTTCGTTATTTAGGTGTTTTATACAAATTGTAATTCATTCATAAACTCAATCAAATGTTATTTTCTACATGTCAGTTAAGAATTTTCTAAAACAATAAAAAGAAAAATGTTTTAAAAAAGTAATGAAATCTTTAGATTTATTTTGGTGCATGATTGCTCAACGTATGGTTCAGTTTTTCTTCAAAAGTAATCCTTCATTTTGATTAAAATTATTATTAATATCAATTCATTTTTTATTTTCGTTAGTTCACACACATACTTTAGTTATTTAATTTAGAACATTTGAATAGGAGGTTAGTAGCAGTCATAGATTCTTCGAAATAACTGTCTATAATAATGGATATAGTATAATGTCATCATCAAACAATTTTACCATAAATAAATAAATTAGTAGGATTCATAATCTCGTTACTGTCATTATTATGATCGCATTGCTCAAAGTCGCCACCATTATTATCTTACATTTTCCTTCCATTCAAATCTTTTTCCATGCTCACTAAATTCATCTCTTCCATCGCTCAAAAATAGAACTCTGAAGAGATGATACATTTATTCTAGATCATTTTGTTGACAAAGATATTAACATTTAGCAAACCTTGGACGAAATATAATTTCTGAGATGAATAACTCGATCAGGAATAGCATGCGGAAGAACGAGTTTTAGATCGGTATTTCTGTTTTAACTTTAGTATCGCTCTTCAGAACACCATGCAGCACTACTTTATCTTTCATAACATACGTTTTAAATACTATATGAACATTAATGGCTACATCGATTGAAAGCTATTAGGATAGTATGAACATCAAATATTATCTTTATATTCAAGAATTTCTTCTATATGATTGATTTGAAATTATGCAAACGATCTTTCATTCATAATTAACAAACATATAACAATGTCTACTCTCTGTTGATGAATATTATGCATTGCATGACTCAATATTTTCAATGAGTATTACAAATCAAATAGTAGCGACAAGAAAAACACAATATTGCCTTTTGTTCTTTATATTTAATTAAGATTATCAGATGACTGTCTCTCATCGATGCAGATTCGTACAACTCCAAATATTTCCGATTTCTATGTGTAATATAGATTTAAATCACTGTCTATTTATTCATCGTCTTATCTACATATAAAGGGTGGCCCAGAAGTTCTGACTCGATTTAAATATTAAATTTTTCTTTAGCAAAACACTTGATTGAAAATTTGTCTCTATAAAGAAAAGATGCAGTAAAACACGCTCTACAAAATGGCCTTTGATTGACCCTGCTAGCTCATATAGTAAGAAGGTTATAGGCTTAGATATGTGCATCACAAAAGAGTAAAATTAACCATGAACTTTCTTCGTATGGTGGTGCTATAAGTAAAAATTCCGTAACTCCATCAAAACAAAAAAAATTTCGATCGGGTTTGTTCTGTTTTAATCAGAAATGATTGCTCTTCTCTACTTAACTACAAAATTAAGCTTCCATCATGTTTTCTGTTTCTTGCTTGGATATATTGTCGGGAACAGGGGTTTGCCACTTTTGAGACATCATTCTGGAGCATACCATCTGCTCTAAAAAAATCTTTCTACAGACCAGGAGAAATAATACATTCGAATCTACCAAACACAAAATCAGTTCTCACTTTTGCTAAGCTCCTTCACTGAAATAATAAGAGAAGAAAAAGTTTCGGTTGAAAAAAATACCAAATTTACCATGTTTTCATTTTTTTTCCGTCTACCATATAATTTTCTTAGTTTTCTTGATTGAAGTTCTGAAATAAAAGTTTAGGTATGATTTTGTAAAGAATTTCATGGCGCTTCTATTAAAAAAACGAATTTGTTCTGGGCGACCTATGGAACAGGAGTTCGAGCAAAAATACCGACATCGAGTTTACCGTTAATTTTTCTTTTTCGTGAAGCATATCTCTAAGCCTATAACTTTCTTACTATATGAGCTAGCCGGGTCAATTAAAAGCCATTTTGTAGAGCGTGTTTTACTGCATCGTTTCTTTATAGAGACAAATTTTCAACCACGTGTTTTGCTAAAGAAAAATTTAATATTCAAATCGAGTCAGGACTTCTGGGCCACCCTTTATTGTTCTGAACAAAAATAATGACTCCGTAAAAGACAGATTATTGTCCACTTTGAAGTAGAAATTCATAAATTAAAAAATTTAATATTCGTTTAATTAAAATTAAAAAAAACTTTTTATCTATGGAATTTATTTGAAAAAGCACCAAAAAGTGTAAAAGTTGAATGTAATTTCCTGAAATTTCTATTTAATGATTCATAACGAACTGTCTATATGTTTATAATCATTAGAATAAAGATAAATTTATCAGTAGCAAAATTAGTTATCTCTGCAATTGTCGAAAGAAACGTTCTTAAGAGTTAAGTGCGACAAAAAAAGCGAATTTTTTTTTGAAACATCATTTATTGATAATTATATCAGCTTGATGGAAGTATTGAAATCAATTCTGAATGAAATCTACCATAGATGACTGCTATTGGAGGATTAATTACACAATTTCTATTCCAACGATTTAAGACATAGACTGTGCACTTCATATGTATTAAATAATAGTTGAGAAAAAAACATTTTGATCAACTTATAGAATTTTTGCTTGATACATATCGATTAAGGATTGGCTGAAAAAATGAAAAAGGATCAAATAACAGTTCTTGAAAATTCTACCTACTTAAAGAAAAGTAATAAAATAAAAAGAAATCATCAGTTCCATACATTTCAGTAATCACTATTGTCAGTTTTCATTCAATTTTATTCAATCTATTATTTGCTTTCGTTGTTATTTTCATCAAAACAACGATATATTTAAGCTGATGTTTTTGTTTTAACAATGGCACGAACGTATATATTACTAAATTGAATTATTTTATTCAAAAATCTAAATACTGTTCTTCTTTAGGAAAATTCAAAATCTTTTTTAACATTAAAAGTAGTTGAATGATTAGCTCATCAAATATTGTCTACACATAGTTCTAGCTAAAGTTCTTTACCCACTCTGCATTAGATAAGTTGAACTCATATAATCATTCAAAAATTCATCTTAATACACGTTGTAATCATTTCCAAGGGACTCCATCTAACTAAGATTTGTCTTTTCTAGCAGCCTAAGTTATATACAGTACAACCTGCTATTGTGGATACTTTTTCATATTTCATCAAAGTGATTTTAGTTGTAATTGAACGTCTGTATAGGGAACATCATTCTTAAATATTTGGACAAAATGGTTCGAATCGTTCGTCAACAATCAGCAGCTACTGAATTCGTTGACGTCGATCTCTCCAATCTTGTTTTTAGCTGGTAGGATGCTAATCAGTAGCTCATAGGATCTAGTTTAGATTGATGGAAAAATAATTATAATATCTTTTTTTGTGCGTAGCTTCCTAAATCAGACCAACAATTTATGCAATTAATATAGAGTTCGTCTTATATTTCAAGAAAAGAGACTACGCCCATTAATTAGTCATTGCATAAGGAGAGAGTTCTGAAGACGAAGAAACGATGAAGGAAAAAGTCATGCATTGCTCAACTGTACAGACACATTCTCTTGATCAATGACACGATAAGGCGAAAAAGCTATTCTGATGGCGAGGATGACTGTGAAGCTCACCCTCATTATCATCCTTATTCGAATTATGATTATTGATTACTGATGAATTAAACAGTTACTGGTTTTTTTCAAAAAGTGATGTGAATGAGATCGATGTGACTTTTCTCATTTTTAAATGAGACCATTTCTATGCTGATTAGCCTAATTTTTGGTATCATTTCGACAATAGATCTTTTTGTATCTATTCAAAAGCCTAAACTACACATTCTTGTTTCTGATCTTCAATAACAATCAGCTGAAATTTTTACAACAGAGCTGTATCAAAGATTATTGTAACAACTATTAGTTTCTAACGTTNTGTGGATACTTTTTCATATTTCATCAAAGTGATTTTAGTTGTAATTGAACGTCTGTATAGGGAACATCATTCTTAAATATTTGGACAAAATGGTTCGAATTGTTCGTCAACAATCAGCAGCTACTGAATTCGTTGACGTCGATCTCTCCAATCCTGTTTTTAGCTGGTAGGATGCTAATCAATAGCTCATAGGATCTAGTTTAGATTGATGGAAAAAAAATTATAATATCTTTTTTTGTGCGTAGCTTCCTAAATCAGACCAACAATTTATGCAATTAGTATAGAGTTCGTCTCATTCGTCTTATATTTCGAGAAAAGAGACTACGTCCATTAATTAGCCATTGCATAAGGAGAGAGTTCTGAAGACGAAGAAACGACGAAGGAAAAAGTCATGCGTTGCTCAACTATACAGACACATTCTCTTGATCAATAACACGATAAGGCGAAAAAGTTATTCTAATGGCGAGGATAACTGTGAAGCTCACCCTCATTATCATCCTTATTCGAAGTATGATTATTGATTACTGATGAATTAAACAGTTACTGGTCTTTTTTCAAAAAGTGATGTGAATGAAATCGATGTGACTTTTCTCATTTTTAAATGAGACCATTTCTATGCTGATTAGCCTAATTTTTGGTATCATTTCGACAATAGATCTTTTTGTATCTATTCAAAAGTCTAAACTACATATTCTTGTTTCTGATCTTCAATAATAATCAGCTGAAATTTTTACAACAGAGCTGTATCAAAGATTATTGTAACAACTATTAGTTTCTAACGTTATTTTCAACAATAAAAACACCAGATCAGAATTGACAAAGTGTTCTGGTCTGTTATCTAATTCATTGTTGTTCTACAGATATCTAATAAAAACACTTCCATATAGTAGATGCATTGGAAAAGTCCAAACGGTGTCTAATGTACGTAGATTTTAATGTATATGCTAATATGCAAAAAAATCCAAGCAAATGAGAAAACAAAAATTTACATTAAAAATGGACAATAAATAGATAAATTAAAAATATGAAGTAAAATAAACAACAACAAAAATCATTCTTGAGGTTGATCAAAATCATAATAATGTGTCATATGATTATTATTACTACTTGATCTCCATTCATTTGTACTGGATGAAAATCTATTGCTTGTCTTTTGTTGTTGTTGCATAACAAGATTCAACATAGCTGTAGAACGTATTGGAGTAATTGGAAGTATCTGTTTTGTCCAGTTATCATTCGACAACGATAAACCTTGATAACCATACGATTGAACTTGTTTAATTAAATCTTCAATAAATTTTGGTGAACTTTCATATATGTCATTATTGTCGGTTAATGTTGTTGTTAATGAAATATTTGTCTTGTGTCGTCGAATAGAATCTTTAGAAAATGAAAAACGTATAGGTTTTGAAGTTAATTTATCTTTAATATTTCTTGATGGTATAAATGATTCAGATGAATTAATAATTGGTCGAAATTTGCTATTTAATGATGAATTAATATGTTTCTGTAGAATAAAAGTTTTATGTTGAAATAAATGTTAAACATAAAAGAACAAAATCTCATAGTTTTTTACTGTGTCTATTCACAATTTTGTTCTTTTTTATTTCAAAGAAAAAGAATAATAATAAAGAAAACAAAAATAAATGTAAAATAAAAAAAAAAAAAAATCTATCACTAATTAATAACTCACATCGACTGATTTGGATGATGCTATTTTGACAGTTTCTTCTTTCGAAAAAATTTTGTCAATTTGAATATTTGATTTTACTTTTACAGTTTGATTACCATCTATTGACAACCGATCTGAAAAACGTGATTTTCGTCGTTGTTTTCGATGATCACCATCTTCGACTGTTGTAGTTGTTGTCGACGTCATTGGATGATACATATCTTGATCAAGAAAACGATAATCAACATCATTGAATTCACTTGATTTATTAGAAGTACTACTTGTTGTTATTTGTTTTTTATGTTTATCATCTTGATCATCATCAACATCCATATTTTCTTCTATTAAATTATCATCAACTACTATTGAAGTACTTCCTTGTTTAGTTTGCCATTCAATCATAACCATACGAAGATTATCATTAAAATGTGTACACAAATCATCACGTCTATTGGCTTTCAATATTTCCATAGTAGACGTCACAATTGAACGAATATCATCAGATTTTAATGAATGTCGAATAAGTTCGAGAGAATCAACTATTAATCTATGCAAATCTTCATTTGAACTAAAATAAATTTAACTAATTAATTTCAAGAGATAATATGTATTTCAATTGCAAATCTACAATTTCAGTAAATGAGGGTCAATCATGATCACACAATATGTTGTGACATCCAATTAGAAGTCGTATGGGCTTATTTTTGAATGTTTTCTACTGTAAAAATCGTAAAATAGTTCAGAAGGGAAGAGAGCGATTGTATCCTCTCAATCCGCTACTGATGGATTCTATTAGCATAACCATACTTGAAACCACCGGACCAGTCCGACTAAAAAAACTCGACCGATTCCAAGAATGAAAATAACCTACTATTGCGTTGATGTTTGTTGAGTATTAATTGGCGGCTGTGATGGAGAAAGAGTAACATTTTCATTTGCTTTATTATTTCTATTTAATCGTGGATCTTTTGTTTTGAGTAATCGAGGATCTTGTATGGCAGTTGAATCTTGTGTTGCAATTGGATTATATATTAACTTATTCAATGATGGATTTTCATTTGAACGATTTGTTAATTTCATCGTTCGTTTTCCTAATCCAATAATAACAAGAAATAATTGTTTTGTTTCAAATGTTATTGGTAAGAAAAGTGACGATAATACATTCGATGGACAATCTTTTGTATCAGCTGCTAATATATACATATCACGAATTGATGATGAACTAACACATTTACTAATGACAGCAGCTCGTCCTGATGTATCTAATGTATCAACATATTTGGAAAATAATTCATTATCATTGGTATTCATTGATGATGAAACAAGTGTTAATATAAGTATATCACGAACAGTAAGTGAATCACGAATATAATCCCAAAGATCTCCTAATCGAAGTCGTCCAAGTATGATAAGTTGTTCAGGAATATTTTCTATCAAATAATCACTTTCACCATAAACATGAAGAGATTGACATGGAATTTTTATATCAGACGGATGAATTGTTCCACGCCATTGATTTGATGAACGTGCAATTGATATTGGTTGATATCTAAAGAGAGATAAAGTTGAAAGATTTAAATAAGAAAATACAATAATTTACATTGGCAATGTTCCATTTTGAATCTTTGATGGATTATAATCATCACGAACAATTGTTTGATATGGCATAACATATTCAGTATTATCATTAGATGAATGAATTATAGATGGACAAGAAGAATTATTAATATTATTCAAATCATTATCATCATCGTCATCATCTTCATCTTCATCGTAAATTAATGCATCAATACCTGTAGGACTTTCTGGTTCAATATAGTCATTATCAAGATCCACTGTCAAGAAAATAGGAGTTGATTGTTCAGAAATTGCGAGTTGAGATTCAAGTTTTGAAAATTCATTAGAATTTATATTCTTGATTGAAGATATGGAAGTAATATCTTCTAAAAATTAAAAAAATTAAATCTTTTATTCCAGGAAAGAATGAAATTTTAACCAGAAAGTATCGATGAAGATGTTTGATTATCCGATCGAAATTTTGTAATAGGTTTTTCATCAGCAGTTAAAATGATTGGTTTTGAAGCTTCATCAATAGATTCAGTTGTTGTTGTTTTTGTTAATTTAATCTCAATAGTTTCTTTAGCAGTATTGGTAGATTGATCATTTTTGCTTTCATCAACTTTTTCCTTCAATGAACTTTGTTCTTTCTTCAAAACATAGAATTGGAAAAAGTCTTTTTACTCATTTTAGTGCAGAGACGTACAGTTTCAGGAAAGTGTTCACCGAAAACTCACACTGACATATTGACTATACTGAATCGGTGTTTACTGATGAGAAAACCTATCAGAATGATAATCTCTATTTCAGCTCATAGCTAGAACTTATAGTTTGATAAAAATCCTAACAGAATACATATCATTATATGTTTTTTCTCGAGTAACGATCATACTAATAAACTTTCAGCCTATTGCAGCATATGACAAGAAAAGTTGCAACAAGAAGTTTTGACCTGAAGTTCTTCCCGACAAAAACACTTCTAATCCTTATGATATCCTGAATGTTTCAGCTCAAACAAATATTTTTCATCTATGATAACACGTTTATGAAAAATGGTACTTTCACACAAGGTTTTCAAAAATAGCTCAGTTTTTAAGCATACGATATCTTAAGAATAAATCATCCAACTGAGTTGAAACATTCAGGACATCATGAAGACTATAAGAACTATTGTTGGGAAGAATTTCAGGTCGAAACTTCTTGTCGCGATTTTTCTCATCATATCCTGCAAGAGACTGAAGGTTTAGTGCAATGACTATAACTCAAGAAAAAATGCCCAATGACATGAATCGTTGAGAATTTTTATCTACACGATGACTCCTACCTGTGAGCTCAAACGAAGATAATCAATCGGATAGATTTCTTCATCAATGAATATCAATTCAGTGTAGTGAATGTATCAGTAGACTCATCGTCAGTGTTTCTATTAAAACTGTACGTTCCTATTTTAGTTTCTTACTAATGTAGACAATGGTAAAAGTGTATCATTATGAATAAGATCTTGTCGAGTAACTTTTATTCTTGTACGTCTGGCCAGTTCTTCGGCTGTTTGTTGTTCGGCATTAATAATTCTTTGAACTTCTTTTTCAAATTGATCTTTACGTTTTTCTTTTTCTTCTAAAAAAGAAACAACGTTTAATAGAAAATAGTATTTTTCTTTATTCAAGATAAATACCTGGTGGTAACATATCATCAGATTTCATTGCAACAATTTGTTTAGCTGTTAAATCTTTTGAAAGAATTTGTTTATAAAAATACTAACAAATATAAAAAGAAAACAAAAACACTGATTAAATATTATAAAAAAAGTATATTTTGTTTTGGTATAAGCCATACATTATTATTCATATTACTAATATTAGCAATTAACGAACGAAATTTGTTTTTATATGGATTATCAATTTTACCATAAACATGAAACATTTCCTCTTCGATTTGATTAACTATTAATCGTATATCTTCTTTTACAAAATCTTTTTCACCATTTTTTTCTAATCTAAATTTATTAGGTTAAGTTTAAAATCAATGCAGAATCAAATATGACAGACCGCATTAGAATCTTGTCATGTAAAGCTGTTGGAACTTTTGATCGTATATCAGCAATACTATTAATATTAGATATTGTCTTATTTATAGGTTTTTTAAGTTGTGTTGGAGTCTTTTTATTTAGAATTGATTTCGTAGTCGTTTGTTGATTAGTTGTAATTGATTTCAATGAAACTTTAGATTTATTTGTATTAACAGCAGCTGATAATGATCTTGATAAGCTTGTAGATTGATTATCTCTTAATAAAATCGTTTTTCGTACAGAAGATTTCATAATTTCATAAGATGGATGTTGATTAATCCAAGTGCATAAATCTTCTATTTTAGGAACTAAATTTTTTTCCAAAAGTTTTTTACTTTTACTATCATATAATGCAATATCTTCACGTGTTGGAATTTCTTCATTATTCTAATTTAATAAATGATCGAAATATAAAACAACATAAGGAACAGAATTCTTTTTCTTTTACTTTTCCTTTGCTTCGTTGAATAGCTTGAAGAGTATCATTGATATGAAGACGAATGCATGCAGATGAACAATAAATCCAACCTGGTTTTGCTGAATTCTTACAACCATGGACAATACAATCAACTTTTGATTCCTAAGAAAATGTGTAAGTTTTATATTTTAAAACAGATGTTTTTATTTTGCACTGTTAATATTTACTGTTAATGAATTACTTCGAAAAGAAATGTCCATTTTTGGTCGTTTTCTTGATTCATCATGTGAAATACTTTTCGATAAAATTTTATTTCCTCTAATACCAAGATTATTTCTTGGTAATCTATCATCAGAACATTTTCGTTTTATTGGAATTGGATTATCAGGTGACCGTGCTGATTTCATCGCAGAGTCTGGTTCATTTTGTCCTATTTTTAAAATAATGAATGATTTAATAGGTAGCAGACAAGCTTAAATATGAAACAACCGATCAATGACAATTTGAAATATTAAATAGTTTAGGTCACTGTTTTGAATGATAAAAATATATTTCCAGTGAATGTAATGAGTTCAGGATACTTTACTATCAGTATGTCATAGGAACCTTTGGATACTTTATGAATTTTAGTACTTGGCAATAAAATACTTCAAAATGTTCAATCCACCAACTTTAGAGTACCAAATCAAGACTCTATAACACAGCAGTAACAGAGTAACCTGGTCAAGTATCCTGCTCACAACTAATTCAGTACACTAGTCCCTTGAACTCAAGACATTCACTAGGAATACTTGATTTTTTTTTTCTTCTTCAAAATCGGTTTTATCTGATTGAAATATATAAACAATGTGTATTCACGTAATTGATAAACTTAAATATTCAAAGAACTCAAGATAATCAAATATTCTATTAAAATATTGGTTCCAATAATATACTTTCGATTGACATCAAATATTATAATGGATGCTACACAATGAATTGGATGAAATGTAAATACGATTTTCTTTTAATTTAAATCAATACAAAATATTTAGTCATATAGCAAAAGATAGAGAATTTTAAACTTTACAAAATTACGAACATCACTTTTAAAAAGAATACATTGCCTTTGCACGGTAATTCACACATTTATATGTCATGTATATTCCAATCATAGCTCTCAATGGACTGAGCTAGGTCGAAGAATGTCAGCGCATAGGTTATCAGTCTTAGGCCCAACACAGTTCGTGGTTTTCCAATAAAAAAATTTCGATCCATTGTTTGGGCTGGGCCGAACTGAATTCAGTTCGGCCCAGTTCATTAAAACCTTTGATCTCAATTGCGGCACATCGTTTTTCGCACTTTTAAAACGCATAAACAATCATGGAGGCGTATCTCGAAAGCAGAGCTTTAAATCAAAAGATAATATTTGTCTCTCTATTTGGCTAATTCACTTTCAGATATTCAAGCTTTTCTAGAGAGTTGAAAATCCCTTGAAAGTATCCTTCATGGTAATTTTGGCAGGATTTTTCAAACAATGAAGATCGTTTTAAATCAAAGTTGAATGGCAAAAGTCCTCACTTGGGCACTAAAAATGTAGAATTTCGTTCTCTACAAGATTTCATTGCTAGTGAACCGTAGCGCGACTTGTTTTTGCCAAAATTCACGAACCATCGAGCAGGCCCCACAGTGAATGTAAAGCTTTGTTTTGTTTTCTTTCATTTATTGTGTCCTAACTTTTTACATGAAAATGTCGTTTCAGGTTTTGAAAAGTAGTCGAAAAGATAGATGATTTCATCGAGAATATTTTGGTTTTTTGTAGGAACCTAGTAGATTTCTCAATAGCGACACCACACGTGTTTTTGTTTGTTTTTTGCTCCACCAGAGAAATATACCGTGTAGCTCAGTATGTTGGTCGCTTCTAAATTAAAAATTTCTTTGTAAAAGTGAAGTTAATATTTTTATAGAACTTCAAATTCTCCATCTTTTGATATATGTATACAAGTAAGTATTTTATATAAATAGTAAATGATTTGAAAAATTGCATTAACATTTAATCTGATTCATTATGGTCCATTCGTTAGAAAGTGTTTACTCGAATACAAATCTATGAAATTGTTTGATATTTTTTTTTGTTACGGAACATGTCGATACCTTGACATGGTGGACAAATAAATTGATTACCATTCATGTCAAGTGATTTCGCGTCTTCTTTAGTAACTCCAATACTAGAATTCATAAAATAATAAATTAGTTTTCTATTTTTCTAATAATATAATAACGAATTTAATATCTTTACCAATCTCCATGATACCAATTAGCACATGAATCACATCGTAACATAAGTCTTGAATGATCCCATGGTTTGTTACATAAACACCAAAGACGACGATAAAACTGATCATTATCGTCATTTGTTTTTTCATCTTCATCGGTAGATAAAATGATGATATCATCATCATCATCATCATCATCATTACAACATCGTATATTGTTGTTTTCATTATTATTATTATTATTATTGATGAATGTTGGATTATTAAGAGCCCATATTGCTTGACGAATTTCCTCATACATGCCTCGTTCAAGATCACGGTAATTTAATTTTGCTCGATTATTACGTTGTGGATATGATTTACGATTATCTTTATATTCACTAAAATCATATTCAACTCTTTCCTACCGCAAAATAAAAACAATAAACTTAACTGTAAATTATTTGTTGAACCACTTTCTCTATCGTTTGCTACACGATCAATATTCGTATGGTCGTTAGACAAACCTGCAATTATTTATGGAATAAGAAAATTGTTTTGTACAGTGACTAATAAAATAAGAAGACAAGTCACTGCTGCTAATAAATATTAAACATATATGTATGTTTAACAACTGGAAAAAATAAGTTTTTTTTCACACCTGTTGTAAGAAGATTAATCATGTATGAGAAAAATGAGAAGATAATATAAAGAATTCATCTTAGTAACAGCAAAATCTACTTTTTCTTTTATACTTAATCTACTTGTAAATATATAATCATTTTGGAAATAAGATTTGGCGCGAACAAATCAATCACATTTTTTTCATTGTATCAACAGTTTATCAAAAATTCAAATATGCCGTATTTTTAGTTAGTTAATTAGCTAGTTAGTTAGTTAGTTAATATGAATATTTGCAATGAACAATATCGGGAGTAAAATAATCTTTTTCTTGGTTCAATAATGAATATATTTTGCTAATTATGTGTTTCAAATGTCCGAAAAATTATTGTTCGTGTTTAGTTTGTGTTTGTCCTTTCATATAGATGGCAATTCTAATTATACAGACAGAAAATTTTACCCATTTAAAAAGAGGTCACCAATAGTCATTGCAAATAAGTTTTTATTTATAGTCTATCATTTGTCTTATAAAATGAATAAATATTTTATCTATTTCTTTTTTAAAGAAATTATTGAATATGCATGCATTAGTTCTGAGACTGTTAATTGTACACTAGACAAATGTATCATTATTGTTATAGCTGATTTGACGAACTTTTACCTTTAAAGTTTCCATTTGCATTTGTAATCATTGAAAACTATTCTAAATATTTTCTTCGAAAAAAAAGATTTAGAAAAATTTCAATTGAATATAAGCGAAATAAAAAATGGATCGATTTTCTTCCTTCTTTAAATATTCAATGCTAGTAAAAAAAATAATTTTTCTGCTTTATGCAAAGAAACTATCGATAATCATTAATGATAATAATTATATAATTATAGTAGCCCTGATTTTAATTGGTTCATGACTATCAAGTTATTCATGCATTTGATAAAAGTCTATTATTTCGAAGATGAATGGCTAAAGATGACCAATCATGAATTAATTATAGTAAATCATTTTAGTTTTTGAATTTCAATTTTAAAAAAATTATTTAAAATGTCAGTCGAAGAAAAACAAGTACGTTCAGTATTTGTTGGGAATATTCCACATGGAACAACAGAAGATCAAATGAAAGAAATATTTTCTGTTATTGGACCTGTTCTATCATTTCGTATTGTATTCGATCGTGAAACAGGAAATCCAAAAGGATATGGATTTGCTGAATATACGGGTAGAAAATATTTCTTACGTTTAAAATAAACTTTTTTTTTTAAACTTATCAAAGATATTGATATGGCTCAAAGTGCAATAAGAAATTTAAATGGTTTTGAATTTAATGGTCGAACACTTCGTGTTGATAAAGCATCATCACAAGCAGATGAGTTACGATTACTTCATCAACAAACAGTAAGTAGTGTGCCAACATTTGCAACTGTTCCAACTGCTACTATTACATCAGATAAAATACCAGAAGTAATTGCACGAACAATAGGTAAATTAAATTCTTTGTTGTTTTTTTTTCGTTTTAATTAAAGTTTTTTATTTTTACGCATTTATACTTATTTTTTAGTTAATCTTCCACCAGAACAAGTTGTTGATTTAATGAAACAAATGCAAAATATTATTAGAGAATATCCAAATGAAGCACGAAATATTCTTATACAAAATCCTCAATTAACATATTCTATGTTACAATCACTTGTTATTATGGGGTTAATAACTCCAAATGAAGCTGTTAATATGTTACATAAACGATCCGATGTTCCTTCAATAAATCTTATAAATAATAATTCTTCATCAATACCAGCTGCTAATTTTCAAACAACGTCATCATTAGTACAACAATCATCTTCCTTTCCTTCCCATTTAACATCAATGAATTTTCCAATGGTATCAACAACACCTGTACAACAATCACAAACAAATTCGAATATAACTGGTAACTCGCCTTTATCACGTACTGATCAAGAAAAAGCTCAACTATTAATGCAAATATTACAATTAAATGAAACTCAATTAGCTCAATTACCAGCTGATCAACGAGCGAGTATTATACTGTTAAAAGAACAAATACAACAAAGTGGCATGGTTTCATTATAATACTCATTTATTTATTTATGTTCTTTAATATAGGTCAATTTTGCTTTCTATGTATAAAATAAAAATGACGCGCAGTGATATATCATAATAAAACTATTTTATTAGAATGAATATTTGTCGAAATAATATATCTTCTAAAGAGAAATGTACTGAAGAATAAGCAAAAAAAAAACAAAAATCTCTAATGAATACTTCATTAAGACTATAGGCGGGCGTACTAACAAAGTACTAGAGTGTGATTGCTTCGCATAAAAATAATCCAGAATGCAATAAGAGATTATTGCTTCCACTGAAATCTACCTTTTATGAAGGTTCATATGGGATGACTGATAAACAGTGGTGAATATTTGTTTTATTGTATCTGTATTGTTATTCCTTTATCACATATATCTGGCATCTGTCTTTATTAAATATACTGAAGATCGATTAATTATTATTATATAATTGAACAAACACAAAGAAAATTCTTTTTTTCTTTTCTTTTTACTCACAATAGAAAGAAGATGCACATCAGCCTTCTCTATTTTATACTTATTTTTTTGATCTTCTACAATTTTTGATTACTTTCTAATTAACTAGTTAATTATCTGAAAAAAGTTAATTTTTTTATTATTTTATAAGTAAACCAGAAACTTCATTACCAGAAAAATCTAATACATTCAACAGTAAAGCTATTGTGGATACAAATGAAATAACTTCATTAGATCAAACTGATTAGAGATGTATCTGTTCCTAGACCGTAATATCAAAGATGACATGTTTTCCTTATTAAGAATCTAGTTTCATGTGGATTTTTTCCATCAGCCATTATCAGTTTTTCTTGTTATGACCGATTCCAACTGACTTCGAGACCTATGTTTTTCGTTACATAAAATCTAAGGATAGATGTAGAGAGAGCGTTCAAAACCGGTCACAACTGGTATGAAGAATCGCTAGGAGTACGGTATTTCTCAATACTAGAAATATTATAATCTTCAATAAGAAACTCAAGTAAATGGTTTATCCTTGCTCACAAAAACAAATGTCCAGTATTGAGAAGTACTGAACTCCTAACGATTGTTCATACAAATTCTAATAAGTTTTCAACACTCTTTCTGAATCTGTTTTTCAGTTGTGTTTAATACAGAAAAAAAACCTCAAATTAGTTAGAATTGATCGAAAAAAACAAAAATTGTGAATGTTTGACCGATTCTAAAACCTTTGTTTTGGGTTTTATGAATTTTAACTACAGCTTCGGATAGAGCAAGAAAAACCGATCATGGCTGATATAAACAATCGATAGAGAACAACGTTCTTTATAATAGAAAATACATCATCTTTGACATAATGTTTTAATAATTGATGCATCCTTCTAAAACCGATGATGCAACATCAATGCCATATATTGAGGGTTCCGGTGTAGGTGTTAACCTTCTCTGCATCCATTCATAGTAATACTCCAACAGGTGACGAGAGACTATCTAGTTTAACTTAAGTTTAAATTGCACGTGGTTTTGAAATTGATTTCGGTAGTATGGGATATGCATTTGTATCGAAAAAATTATATATATTGAAGATCATTGAACTAATTAATGTATGACTTGAACTGAAATATTCTTTGTTTTATAATTACCTGGTTAAAAAGAAATTTTTACCTCTCCTAGAAACTTTCGTTACTATCACCTATAATTGAGATTAGAAAAAATAAAATACAATCGTTTGATACACATTATCTTTTTTTTCATGATGTTGGTGTTTGTAAGAACACATTTTATCAATGTTAGTAGTCTATTTAAAAAAACATGCCAATATCGAGTCATTCAAATGAACAAGCTTTTGATAAAGTAAATTACAATTCATGCAAGTCAATATCTGATTGCACATATATCGATCACAATATCATTTCATCATGACTTGCTTTGGCACTCTTATCTTCCACTTACTGATCCATCCAGTCTGATATTTATTTACACTTATAGAATCATGCAACAAACATAGCCAACTTGCATGATCTTTACTTGTGCATACCATGTAATTATCGAGAAGAATAGAAAGTTAATTGAAATATGGAAATGAAGTTAAATGAAGTGAGAAAATGAGTACATCTCAATCTTCTCATGCTTCACACATGTAATACATTACAAGACTATTGGTCACACTTTTTTTTCTCTTTTGACACGATAAAACAAGTGATATGTAAAGAGTTTCAACAACATTAAAGTTTTATCTTTATTCATTGGCAATATATTTATATATATATTTCTTCTAGTTGTTTCCGATATTAAAAGACATTACAATGGAAAAAAGTGAAATTCTTTAAAGAAAATCATGTATTTTTGTCAAAATATATAAATAGTCTTTTCATCACTTGGGATTGAGCAGATGCTTTGGTTATATTTGATAAAAGAACATTTATTCAAGATATTAAATCCTGCTGTGTTTCATCTGTTTTAACCGAGAATACACTACTTTTATCTAAATATACAAAAACAATGTTCAAAGAATGCAAAATTAAAAAGAGAAAAAGATTAAATTGAAAATGATATTTTCTTTCTCATTTCCGTGAAGAATGAGATGTCTTTTAAAGTTTAATTATTTTGCAAAACCATGATTACAACATGAACAATGAAATGGCCATGTACCATTATGTTTATGCATATGACAACGTAAATCACCTGGTGTAGCAAAACTTTTTAAACATTGTAAACATTGATGCGGTTAATTCTAATAATAAAAAAAAGACGATTATAATAATGTTTTTCTTTTAATGTCAGTATAATTAAGCATACTTTATTATGTGTCGTTCAATGATAATAAAGATTTGATGCAGCCGTAAACGTTTTTTGACATATTTTACATATATGAGGTTTTTCACCTGAATGTATTCGACAATGTGTATTCAATGATGATGATGCTGAAAATGCTTTTGAACATATCGACTTTCACAAGCGTGACGCGATGACGTTTTGTCCACAGTTTTTTCCATTTTTCTTGGAGACTAGACTACTTAGAAATTTGGTTCTTTCACCAAATGATGCGTCTCTCTACCCTATCGCAATTCCTGAAAATCTGAATTCGTTTGGCTTAGTCTTTTGAAAATTCTGGCAAAAATACTGAGCAAAACGCGATGATGAGAATTGGACAAAAAGTTGAGGGTCACGTGTTTGTTCGTTTTTTTCTCTGGATGCACACTACATTAGAAAAACCGATCCATAAGAACTTTGTAGCCGACAGTACGGAGTATCCAACGAAAAAATAAAATGATTAAAAAAAGATCATTTATTGGCTCGTTATTTTGGTTGAATTAACGTAACGCGATAACGAAAATCAGTAAAATGCGCTCTTCTTTTTACTATCGAAATTTTGTTAATTATTGATAAGTGTAAGCAAAACCACCTATTCTTAGAGCAAAGAAGAGATTTTGTTCACTTTGAGCTAGGCCCTACAAGACGAAAGTATTGATATTACAACTCGGTTTTTTTATTTTCAGGTATTAGAGGTGACGCGTTACGATTTTTTGTCGATATATCACATATATATGGTTTTTCACTAGTATGAATACGAATATGTCGAATTAATAATGATAGGCGATCAAATGATTTCATACAATGTGAACATAGTTGTATATGACGTTCTTTTTGTCGTATTGTATTAGAGTTTATTACTTGTAAAGACAAACGCTTTTCAATTTGTCTTGTTGATGAAAGTATATGGTCAATCATAAATGACATGACTAATATGTAAGAGATTACGTATGAATGATTCTAGTATTACATCGACAATTGCATATATATCTATATAGTAAAACCTTTATTAAGTGAACACCTGTCTAAAGCGAAAACCTCCCGATTATGAACGCTTTTGAAAAGNGGTCACGATCTTTGAAAAAAGTGGCGCACAGTCACGGCCGTGACCGTGACTTCCGTGAGTCAGGGCGGTCACGCCGCGCACTAGACTTGATTAATATATATGCTATTGCATAAGGTATGCTGTAGACATCATGAATATGTAAAACAGACTTATTTGTCAATCAGTTCAACAATTATAATACTAAGAATGTTAAGTTAAGAGAAACGAATTTAAGAAAATGAAAAATAATGAGCGAATAGCAGCAATGCAAACAAAAATAGGGCGTTCGTAGAGAAAAATGAAAAAATTCTGTTCGAAATGGAGAAATTAGAGAAGTTATTATTCTAGACATCGATCACCCTGCAAGACAGCTATAGTCTACTACAGATTTATCACTTTACGTATTTTGTATTAGTTTAATGAGGCTAGAGTGTATATGTGAGTTCCACATTTCAGCTCCAAAGGGGCTGCGCTAACAAGCTTTTTTTATTTTTTTCTAATTCGTTTTTCTTAATTTATCATTCTTATTATTATAATCATTGAACTGATTGACAAATAAGTATGTTTTACATATCTATGATACCTACAGCAGATCTTACACACTATGATATACATTAATCAAGTCTAGTGCCCGGCGTGACCGCCCTGACTCACGGAAGTCACGGTCACGGCCGTGACTGTGCGCCACTTTTTTCAAAGATCGTGACCGTGACCGTGACTGAAGCTTGGTCACGGTCAGTCACGGGAAATTTTTCGAAATTTTGGAAACCCCTGAGGAGAAGTAGGTGAGCTTCGCGAAGCTACCTCCTCTGGTCATCGTTTTTTATGAAAAATTGGGAAATTTCTAGTATTTGCGATTTTGGAAATCCTGAGGGGGAGACGGACACCTCCACGAAGCTACTTCAAGCCCCCGCGGTCATCACTTTTTATAGTAAACGAAAACTTTGCAATAGCTCTTTTTCGAAAGTTTTTTTAATATTGAGGAACCAGACAGAAGAGCCGTGACTCACGGTCACGGGCTGAGCTAACCGTGACCGTGACCAAAAAAGTTGGTCACGCCGGGGTCTAATCAAGTCACAAATAATGATATTCATTATTTTTCAAAATAATAACTTGATCAATTTTCCAAAAAAAAAACTAGAAAATCTAACATCTTTTATATTGATTGCTAAGGTCTGTAATGGGGGGTTCCGTTGCTATGGTCTATAATGGGGGCCTGTCTGTAAGGGGTGGGGGGGGGGGAGCCGCAAAAACTCGCACTTAAAACTTACACTCACTATTTTCTTCGAAAATATATGTGAGTTCCACAAAATACGCAATAAAATAATAGAGCGTGCGATAGACTTACGAGAAAAAAAAAAATACGAATATAATGATTTACATTCAATGTTGATTAAAAGTGCACCAGTTTCCTGTTTTACTACTCTCGCTGACGCTTCAATAATGAAGACAATACGTGAGAAAATTCCGGTGTATGTTAACTTTGAGAATACTTGGGAAGCAATTGACTTCAAAATTTAAATTAATTAATTGCTCGTTTCATGAAAAAATATTAATATAAAATAAACTCCAAAAATGATATACAAAATGACACTTCGCAATAATAAAATTGTACTCGAATAAAAAAAATATAATAACATATCAGTTTAGAATTGAGAAAAAGTATAATCATTAATTGATAAATACTTCTTCAATATTATTTATTTTACAATATAAATTCTATTTTCTGATTAAGACAGTTTTAAAAAAATATTTTCTAAAGACAGAAGTGTAACTCAGCACTGGAGGCGGGGTGCAAAGTGGTTGAGTCTCAATAAAAGGGGTTGCTGTGTGGACAAGTTTCAAAAACAGGAAGGCGTCACGTTCTACTTCCATAAGTAACGCTCCTATTTAAAGAAATTGTTGTTATTTTTTTTTTCATTATAAGATATACGTCATCACAAGTATAATCGACATAGAATTTTTTTAAATACTTCTCATTATTTTATTCTTACAAAAAAAAATATTTTAGTTAGAAACGAGAAAGTACACTTAGATTTAGAATAGAACATTCAAATGTTATTTTCAACTATTCTTGTAATTGCAGGTCTACCATTGATTATCAATGTCAAATGAATTCTTTAAAACTTCTAGAAAGAAATATTATTAGAAACTTGTATTCAAAAGAAAGAGTTTTGTCTGTATTTGCTTAATCTTAAGGTTATATCCTGATGGAAGTGAAGTTGACCAATGTTGAGTAATAGACATCTATTTTTACATGACACTGTTGATAGAACTTCTCATACATATTTAAAGTCTTCACTTATAAAAACATAAATCTTATTTTCTCTAACTTTCAAATCGATTCGATTTAAAAAAATAATAAAAAAGTGAAAAGTGTTTTTTCATTGCTAGCATCGTTGATATTGTGCATAAGCCGAACAGTCAACACTGGATAATAATTTATCAATCATATCCTCAATATTTATTTGTATAGGTTCATTATTAGTATGAGAACGTTTTGAGCGAGGATGATTTTTTCTTGATCTATCAGGCGTTTTATTAATTGAAGCAGCTATTGGTCGTAGACAATCATCAACAATAGCACGAAGATCATTGTGTACATTATCATTTAATTGTTCGGTAGAACTTGTACGTGGTATTGTTGCATAAGATTCTTCATTATTAGCTGGCGGAAGTGAGTCTTCATAGTTTGAATATTGTATAACAGAATTTCGACGTTGACGACGATATAAATGATTATCTTTATTCATTGTTAACCGATATGTATCATTCGCAATTCGTACAAAACCAGCTTTTTCCAATGTGGCAGTTGGTGATCGACTTGTTGGAATACGTTTTTCGATTTTTTTAACAATAGCTGCTGATGATTGACGACTTTTAGTTATCACAGGAGTATTTATCAGATTATCTTTTAGAATATCGTCTGCACTACATGCACGATGAGAACGATTAATGAGTTTTTGACGTTGTACTTGTGATGATTTATTATTATTTATTTCCAATGTTGATATCGGTAAACGATGACATGGTACGAATGAATGAGATTGACAATGATTTAATGACGTTTGAGAATCATCTATAGATTCAACTGAAAGAACATCTAATATTGATAATGTATCTTTTGATGGTGGACGATGACCATCATTTGTATCAGTACGTTCATCAGTAAATATACCACTTGATGTTGATTCATCATGTACATCATTATCATCTATAGATGATGACGAACGTGTTTGTATTGATGATCGAAATTTTTCAATAAAATTATTTGATAAACTTTGAGGATAGTCAACTATACATTCATTAGATAAAATTGATATATTGATTTCTGATTGTTGCCGATCTATTGAATTTTGTTGAAGAAAATTTCCATGAGATGATGAAAGTAATTTTGATCTATCATTAGCTATTTGTTCAGCATTCCATCGTGTTGCATCTATAGAAAGTTCTTCATTTAATTGACTACATTTACGAATTGATGGTTCAGTACGCTTTGGTACCAATACATTTGCATGATTAAGTAATTTTGATGATGATAATAATGTTGAAGATTTTTCACGTCGCATACTAAATGCTGGTAGTTGAAATTGTGTACAAGATGATACAGCATTTGAACAACTATTATCATTGATAGAAGAAGTTGGCATAACGTTTATTTTATTTCTGGCTGTTAAAAGTCGTGGAGTTGTTGTTAATGTTGATGGCATTTTTCGTGTTGTTATTGTTGTTGCTGGTACTGGCGCTGCTACTGTGGATATTCTTGGTGCTGCAGAATTCATTATCTGAGATTTTCTATCCGGCTTATGTGAAGCACTAGAAAGTGTGCCAAACCATTTTCTTGGATTAAGTGTCCAACGACCTTTTGATGGCATAATTAACTTTATCCAATATACTTTTTGATTGAATAAAGTGAAGTGATATTGGCTAAAGTTGCACTTGAACTGTTTTTTACTTTTACTTTTACTTCTTAATCGTTTGATAGCGTGAACTGTGTATGGGATTGTACGAAGCACAATAAAACACTATGAACAGAAACACTCGACTCTTTTCCTTGGCAAATATGAGAGATGGAGAAAGAAAAGTAGAGGTATGGATGAGTGTTTGAAATACGAACAACAACAAGAAGAAGAACAACAACAGCAGCAGCGCGATTTCACCTTTTGCTTGCCAATGCTCTCTCTCTGTCTCTCTCTATGGCGTAGTAAGAGAAACGCAAAACAATCAAATATTTTTTTTTGTGACAAGTCATCAGCATCTTATATTCAATTGATTGTGCTGTATGTGTCGAACATTTTTCTCTCTCTGTCAATTCTCTATAATAAATACTTTTGACGATTTATTGCACATACATACACACACACATATATATATATAAGATGAAAATTGAAAAAAATAATACGTGACAGAGCAAGAAAAAGAGGCCGGCTCGAGATACTTGAAATGCATAATATGCGTAGGAAATCACAGAAAATCAATAATAATTCGTTTCTATTAATTTTAATTCCAATTATAATTCTTTTATTTCTTATCCGAATCCATTGATGACTTATGATTTTGATGATTAATTGAATGATTACTTTGATTTAAATAGTCAATAGAAGAAACTTTTGTTGACGAATTTTGTATTTGTTTACCATAACCCTGATTTGTACTATCTGTTAATCTATCTGTATAAACAAGTTGTGAACGAGTATTTGTATCATAAGGATGTTGCCGTTGTTGTTGATCATATTTATGCATTTCAGAACTAACAGTTATTTCATGTGAAGAAACTTGTTCATGTTCTACTTGACGATTTCGTTTAAATTGATGTTCATCTGCAGAAGAATGTGTTTCGTTTGTATTTGAATCAACATTATTATTTTTTAAACAACCTTTAACAACTAAAACAAGAATAATACTAAAAATTGCCGACACACCAAAAACAATGCCACCACCAATCGTTCCAGTTAGACTGCCTTTTACTAGACCTGCAAAAAAAAAATTACAATAAATATAATGTAAGTCAAGAAGTAATGTAATAAAAAAGAAGGATATGAATATACCATAAATGAGTGCAGCAACTCCACCAATAAGTCCAATAGCTACAAACAAACCTAATATGGAAACACATGCTTCGACACTGGGCGTTCGTCTTCGTGTATTACTTCGTTTTGAGGAAAATATCATGTTTAAAGTAAAATCTCTATAAATAATATATATATATATACGTTCTGTTTGTTCTAAATTGTGAATGACATATTTCCAAGATTTTAATTTCTAGTTAAGAATACAGACTAATGTTGAATAAATTTCTATATTTGTTCTTTTTTTTTTATAATACAAAATGATATTTCCAACTGTCTTTTCTTCTTTTTCTTTGGTTCTTTTTTTATTTATCAATGATTGTCATCTTCTAAATTAAATTCTTTTTTTTCTTCTTTTCAAATAGTTCCACATTAGTTCTCTCTATCTTTTTTCTTTCAAGATAGACAAACATAGTAGTTATTTTTTATTTTTTCTTCTTTCAATTCTTGTCCCTTTCGATGGCAATTGTATGTGTGTTTAAGTAAAAAAATATCTAATTTTTATTCTTTTTCCACTACTTGGTGAAATATATAACATATTATTCTCGCACTTGTTCATTCTTTCTATTTGTTTTATTCTACTCGTAGAATGTGTTATAATTTAGTTTATCATTCCATTGTGTTTTTAATAGTGAAAAGAAAAAGAAAAGAAATTAAATATTATAATCAACATTTATTTTAAATGATCGAGCTTTTCTTTATAATAATTTATTCAAATAGATAGTCTTTTTGTTATTTCTTTTGATCATGATTGTTAACATTGTTTATGGATTGTTGGTATGACAATATATGTGACTGATTCACATGGTTGATCGATAGAAAAAAAAGTGTTGATTTTAGCATTATGATTGCTTATTTTTTTAAACTCATCAGGGATTTTTTTGTTTATGTTTGATACAAGTATTTTTCGTAATTTCTATTAAATATCTAAAGCAAAAAAAAGGTGAAACTGAAGCCGATGTGTCATGTATTGAGACATGTTGGTATATTTATATTGACTAATGATAATAATTTATTGAATTATATATTCATTTAATGTAGTATTTCGAATAAAATTTACCCGACTGATTCTGGATGGATTCAGGCCTGAAAATTTGGCACCAGAAGGGGCTCTAATTTTGAAGGTTAAAAAATCAGAGAGATAGAGAATTGAATTCTGTGCTATAGTCAATCAGCTTCTTCTGCTCCTGTGATATGATTTTTATGGTATCTCACAAGAAAAATAAATAGATGCCCATGGATACTTTGAAACTTACTGTGATGAAGTTCAATTGATAGAAAATTGGTATTAATGATTCAGAATATAATGTAAAAATTTTAAAAAAGCAACTTTTCCTCATAATATTACAGTTTAACATTATTTTACAATCAATTTGAAGCTCTACTTTTTTTTTATTAGGTACACTTTTCATCAGCACTAAAGGTATCACAGGAAGGTGTCAAAATTATCAATTATTGTTAGTGCAGAATTTTATACTGCAATGTTCAATTTTAATTTAAAGATATTCAGTTATACTTTACTCAGGATTAACTGGTATATGTGTATGCTTATGAATTATTTTATAGATTAAAATCGATTCTTATTGGTATAGTTTAATTTCTAAATCTTATTGTTTGTTTTGTCATAAATAGAAACGTAAGGTCATAAGTGATATCTTCAGCGTTGATGATGATGACCGTATTCAATAAGAAGGTGGAGAATCTCCAGAATAATTGTAAAATTATATTAAACTGCATTGCTATGATTAATTGTTCATTATTATATTGGTCTGATTCAAGTTTTCTTTCCAAACATGTCCTCATTATATCGACTCCCGTAATTGGATGAATCAAAGTTACACTGCTGTAACTTTAAACTATAAATAAAGATTTGATTTCTCTAATTGTTCAATTGCACAATACTAAAAAACTTTTTCTTTGAATATTTCCATTTGCTTTACTATATAATTAAGCGGAAGTAATTTTATTCTATAAATAACAATAATAGTTAAACAAAAAAAGCTCAAAACTTGTATTAATAAAAAAAAGAAAAAGATCGAGATTCTTCTGACAATATTTATTCTTTTTTTTTCTTTTTATCTTTGTCAGTGTCGTTATTTTGTTCGGTACGCTTTTTTTTCATTCGTTTAATACAAATTTTTAATAAAACTATTGATTCGTAAAGCCAAATTCCCTAGAAAAAAAAATATTCATAAATAAAATTTTAATAAGAAAAAGCAAGGCTTTATTGTTTTTTACTTACCACAAGAATACAACAATTAATAATAACAGGTAAAGATAAAACCGTTGATATAAACATACCTCGACTATCAAAATATTGATCTTCAGCAAATCGTCTACAAATAAATTATAAATATTAATTCGATTAATATTCTCTTCAGTTACTTACTGCCAATTTTCAGCAGCTAATTTATTAATATATTCTGCACAATATATGCATGAAACTAAAAGGTAAAGTTATATTTAATTACAGAAATAATTTCTACATACGAAGACCAAGAAAAATAAATATTTGAATATTTAAATGTCCACGTGTTAAAATAATAATTAATAAACAAATTGCATGAAAACCACATAATGCAATTAACCATGGTTCATACCAATTGATCTTAAGATTCAAAAACAAACCAATTCTTATTGATATTTTTTTTTTGTTTCAAAACTTAATGAAATCTTACCATCCGAAGAAATTGCCAATAACTAGTAATTGATGTTGTTTCAATAAAAGATTCCTGCATTCTTTTTTTTTTTTATTGTCTTCAAAAATGAGAAAAAAAATTCAAAATTATGTTTTCAGACGTCTACGCTTTTTTTTTAGAGTCTTTTATTTAATATAAATCAACGAGATATAACAATTCAAAAGAATTACACCAAAAGTACAGCGTTAATACATCCATCATTTTCTGGATGATTAGTTACTTGTGCATACTTTCCCCATACGACTTTACCACCTTGTGTAACCATACCAAGTTCACTAACGTTGACCTAATTTAAACAAAACAAAAATCAGAAATTTTGTTTTTTCTTTTTATGATAACTAACTTCAAGTACTGTTCCTTTGGTTATAACACCTAAGGATGTGTAAAGCGGTGAACTTGGATTCTTCTTAACACCAATAATAGGTAATTGAAATGTTGCTTTCAATTCTGGATGTGTGACATGTGCTTTGGTAAATCGAAGTGCCTAAAAAACAACGTTCAATCAGGGATAATTCAATTAATATTAATACAATCGATTTCATGTTAGCTTCATTTACATCGCGGAAATAAAAGATCAATTGCTGAAACATTTAACAATTTTTCAGATCGCATCGTATTAAGATTTTCCTTGTCAGAAAAAAGACTATTTGTATCACAACTACAGATTATTTTCTTACGATATCAGGCATTTAATTCAAATCCAAATAAAGATTTGAGTAGACGATGAAATTTTCTTTCGACTATATTTCGTACTGAAATTTCATCGATAAGCTATGAGAGAAAAGTTTCTGAAAAACCAAACATGGTAGTTTTCAGGTGCTGAACTACTATATGAAAATTAATTCTTACGAATACTATCTTAAAAAGCACACAATTCTGAAGAAAATGTGAGATTGCTGCCTGTGCTACGACCTTTCCTTAAAATGTTGTAAGCGTCACATAAAATTGCGTTTTTGTGCAATGTCATAATAAATTTGTTTTTTTTGTTATTCTTCGTGATGCTCACCACTTTTTTAATGGAAGGTCATAGGACATATAGCCATCTCTCTGTAACAACGACAATATGCCTTCGAAGTCATACTTCTCATAGAAACTTTGACAAGTAGTCAGCCCCAAAAAAAAACACAAGGTTTTCAGAAGATGTTTTCTTCTATAGAACTTTGTAGAGCTCGTTGCTCTGATCATTTTCGTACAAATATATTGAAATTTATTCAATAAATCATGGTGATAGAACCAAATACTCAAAACTTTTGACTATTCTCGACTACTGCTGAGCTGCAGTTGATATTTTCGAGTATTTTGACCCTAGCATCATGATGTATTGAGAAAATTTGAATATGTTTGTTTTACCAAAATGATCAGCACAACGAGCTCTATAAAGTTATGCAGACAAAAAAATCTTTTTAAAATTTTGTATTGTTTGCAATTGGCTACCCATGGAAGTATTTATCAACAATATGATTCGAAATGAATCTTGTTGTTGGTAGTCTCATATTCTTTAGGATTTTGTACTCTTAAAACCTAACTTGCACAAAGTTTTCTTGTAGTTGAAAATTATCGTGTTCGGTTTTTAAGAAATTTCATCTCATAGTTTGCCTATGAAATTTTGATATAGAATGCATTTAATAGAGAACTTCTTTAGTTATTCAAACAAAAGTTTGAATTTGAGTTAAATGCTTGACATTATAAAAGAAAAAGTTAAAACTATGTTGGATGTGAAAAGATTGAGCAATTTTAAGAATACTTATGTAGAAAATCAATATTCTGAAGATATTATTTTCTTTTTTCGTACCATTGGTCGAATAAATCGTTCGAATTTTGGTGGTTTTCGTGTAAATCCTTCACCAACAAAACAAGGTTTCGTTACCAAACGTTTCCATGCTTTCTCTATATACACAAAAATTATTTTCAATATTCGATTATTATAATTAAATGTTATACTTCGTCGTTTTCCTGATTGAACTACACGGAAAACTTCAGCTTCGCTAACTGCTTTTACTTTTGGTATTGGTACATCCCATTTACCCTATAACAACAAAAAAAAATCATATTGTTGCAATGGAAAATCAATTTCTCGAAAATAATTTATACCGCTTTTTCTTTACGTTTTTGCTTAATCGTATTTGATAAAACTTTAGCTCGAGTTTGTTTTTCACGATCAAGTAAATAAGCAGGTAAAGCACCTTCGGGTACTTCTTGTCGTTGTTTTGTTTCTTTTTCTTCATGACTTTTGATTGTTTTTTTCATTTGAATTTTTTCATTTTGACGACGTTTATTATATAATTTAGCTCTAAATTAAATTAATCAATTAAAATCAATCGAATTTCTATGGAAATTTTTCTTTTACTTAATGCCACGTAATGTTTGTGCTTTCTTTGATAATATATGTGGTAAACGTCCTTCTTTTTTCTTTCTAAAAACAATAAAAACAAATACATGCATTTCATAATATTTCTAGTAGCTTACTGTTTTTCATAATGATCGAATCGACGACCATGTCGTTTACGATGAAGTTCAATATGTTCGTTTTGAGGCTAAAAATTACGATAAAGTTTTCATGTACAACTTAGAAACAAACTATTAATTATTCTCATACCATGGTGTTTGCTTTTGAAATCGATCTAAACTAAATTTATTACCAAAAGTGTTCTGAATATAGATATCTGAAAAAAGAAGATTTTCGAACTTAGAGAATGTTCTACACAAATTTCATTTTTTTTTGTTTGTCTCTTACATTCGAATATCAATTCGATCAATGTTATTTCATAATTTCTAATGCGAATAATATCATGGTGATAGATGTCACTATAATTTCTCTAGATAAATATTTATTTTTATTGATTTAAAAAAACATAATTCGAATACATTTTTTTGTTTGAAGATTTAAATTAAATAAATTTATTAAAAATATATTTATTGGCTAATTCAAATGATCCATTAAGAGGAAATGATAAATAAATAAATAGATAAAATAAACACATGAAAAAAAAAAAGAATATTAATATACAACTATTTATATTAGTATTGTCTGAGAAAGATTAATGACAGGCGAACCTCCATTAGCACAACAACAACGTGCTGTTGTCGAACTTTATGTACGTTCAAAATGGATTAAAGCAAGTTTAGCACTTGAAGATGAAAATTTATTTATTGAATATGCACATAATAAACATGATCAACAATCGTCAACTGGACAATTAAATACAACGAATACTAATGATGAAACACCACAAAATAATGGTGCTACAAATAATTATACACCAGACACAATAACAAGTCAAAAACGGATAGTTAAAATAGTCAAACCAGATAATACAGGACTTGGTAGAAATGAAATTTTCGTTTTATTTTGACATTTACGTTCTTTTCTCATATAGGAATTAGTATAAAAGGTGGAAAAGAAAATCGAATGCCAATATTAATAAGTAAAATATTTCCTAATATGCCTGCAGATCAAACTGGACAACTTTATGTGGGTGATGCTATTTTATCTGTTAATGGAAAAGATTTGCAACATGTTTCACATGAAGAAGCAGTACAAATATTAAAAAAAGCTGGAAGAGAAGTTGAGCTTGAAGGTTAGTTTGACATAAATTTAGAAAGATAAAAATCACATTCACGCTTCATATGAAAACTCTTTGATTTTCTGGTCATTAAACAACAATTCTGGAGGTCTTATTCACATTACTTATTGAAATATTGAGACGGATAGAGAACATTTAATTTTTAAAATATCAGTAGAATAGATGCATTGGCTTGCTTTTTTTTTCGATCAGCCAATTATACAGCAAAGAGAGGAGAGAAGGTTTTATATATTTGACATTTGTAAAAGCCTTTTTTTTTTGTTCTCTATAATATTTTCTGTTCCTTGCATGATTTATTTATTAATTGTTAGAAAAGAAGAGCAAGCAAATAGTACTGCTTAAGTTTATTCAAATAAAAATGGATTAAGAAATTATAGAAAATTTTCAAGAACACATATAGTATTTTTAAAACATATACTAAGAAAGAAAAAGGACATACACTAATCAAAAGTAGTGCTTTATTAGCAATTATGATGGTTGGAGATCTGTTAAATGATCTAAAGTTTGACTTCATTGAATTTAGAATATAATTTTTATTTTTTTTTATTTATTAAACATTCATGATCAAAAAATCATATTGAAGAAAATACATTGAATATATTCTGTTTTAAATACTTCAAAAAAAAAACAAATTCGAATTCATTTGTCAAAGAGACTTGTTGCATAGGCTAGTCCTATGACAGATTTATATTAGTTTAAATCTTAGTTACTGTTTAATAATTATCTGATTTGAACTAATATATTTGATACAAATTGTTCTTTCATGTGTTTTGAGATAATCAAGAAAAACCTCGACATACTGCGAACAATGTAACCTCATACAGTTTTTCTACTTCCTATACACACTATAGCCTCAGAATATTAATTCTACAAAAAAGCAAGCTTTATACTCCTTAACTCGAAGTCAATAGTTCATTTGGCCTTGATCTGTTCTAAATCTCCAAAATATACTATAGTTATAAACAATATTGAACTAATTTCCATATAATTAATAATAAAATAATTTTATATCCCTTAAAAAAAAATTTTTTTTCTTTAAAAACTTTAGTTCGATACTTACGTGAAGTAAATGTTTTAATGCAAAAACAAAGTTCATCATATTCACGAAAACAAAATCATCATCAACAATCTCAAGATAATTTAACTGAATCAAATATATCGTCGAGTTCTCAAAATAAAGATCTATCAAATTCAAAAAAAACTTCAATCACAATTGCATCTCAACAAACACCAAATGATTCAATGCTCTATGAAACAAAACGTATATCATTACGTTTATGTTATATCTTTCGTCGTTCGTCATCAACAAATGATATTCTTGTTTTATCATCATCATCATCATCATCATCATCATCAACAACAACAACAACAACACCAATAACAGCTCCATCAACATCAACAACAAATGGTTCTATATTAGATATTGTTTTACCTTATGCTCAAACATGTTATAGTGTACGTTTTGTTGATGATATGCATGCAAGAAAATGGTTTCATATAATTCATTCAAAAATTTCTCGTTGTCTTTTGGAAATTTTACCTGAAATAGAAGAATATTTTTATGTTGCACGTCATGCTAACGAAGTTAAAGCATTAGGTTGGCTAACCGAACAAGTTAATAATGATGAAACAACATCAATAACGAAATCGTGGAAACCTGTTTTTCTTGTTTTAACTGATGCTGAAATATGTTTTCTATGTTGTGCACCTGTATCAAGACAAACATGTCGAGAACCCGATCTTGTTTATTCAATTCTTTCAACAAGGTAAATAAAAATGTATTTTTTTTTGTTTTTGATTTATATACATGAAGTATATATTTTAAAAGACTTGTACAATCAGCACGTGATCAAATTAATGATGTAGAAGTATCATTATTATCATTACGTGTTGGAACTAAATTTGGTGTTGTATCCCATACATTTCGAGTTGAAACAAAGGCTGATTTAAATTATTGGACTAAAGCAATTAGTCAATGTCTACAAAGTGCTGTTGTACGAATAAAAGAAGTTGTTTTTCGTATGTTAAAAACAAATCTTTTATTTATGTTCTTTTTTTTTTTTTATTATACGAACATCTTTTTAGCTTGTAAATGGAATAATCGAACATGTAAATTATTTTTACATTATGAACATGGTTTTACATTATATAGTGATCCAACTGATTCAGTAACAAGTGCTGGTAATGCAACAAGTACGGGTAATGTTCGTTTACTATGGCAACAACCATTTGAAAAACTTCGTTCCTCAGCTGATGATAATGAACATTTATTAACATTAGATTTTCATGGTGAAGAAGGAGTTGTGGTATGAAAAAGAAAATTTAAAATATGAAGTATTTTTCTTTTATTGGGAACGCTTTGTTTTTAGGAATTAGATTTTGGTACATCTCCAAAACCATTTGTCTTCCATTTACATGCATTTTTATCAGCTAAAGCAGCACGAATTGGTCTTGTTGGATAAGATCTTGTTTTATTCTCTGATCAATATCTATTTCATCTAGTCATTAAAAAAATAAAACAAAATTTATGCGATGTTCACGACTTGTTGTGTTGTAGGACAGTTACCCGTTTTTTTTATTAGCCTTGCCTTACACACACATATTCTTTGTCTTCTCAGATACTTGTGTTTTTCTTCTTTTTTAACAATGCAAAAACCAAATGATTATTTTTTTGTTTGTTTCTTGTTTTTCGATTTGACGTCAAGCAAAACTGCATGAATCAATAATCCTTATCCATTTACATTTTCATTTCTTTTTTTTTTTTTTTTGTTTGTATTAATAATAATATCATTATTATATAACAGTTCTTTTTTTTTCTCGCTATCTATGTGTGTTCTTTTTTTTTCTTTTGCACCGATACCTTAAAGAAAAGCAAAATTTTCGTATTGTATTCTCTCTTCATTTATGAGATGATGAATCAAATTTGGAAAAAAAAATAAACAATTAAATTCATAGTTAACAAAAAAAAATATAAGATGATTCAATTCTGATATTTATATTGGGATTTTTTTTTTCGATAAGTAAGAAAAAAACTCAATCGACGCATTTTAAACATCAAACTTAAGAGAAAAGTGTCAGCTGACATGCATATAGCTCGATGACTCATACTAATCATGTAATAAATATATCTGATTTTTTTCTCTTTCTTTTTTTCTACGCAATTCTTTCTTCCAAAACGTAGAGGTATAAAAAGTGCAAAACTACAATATTTCTACTCAGTAAGAATAAAGAAAAAAAAACAAGTCCATCAATGACATTCACATAGCCATACGCGATCATATGACTTGCTTTAAAAAACAACCAAGCAAGTTGATAAACAATATTTTTTAAATTTTTAGATATTCACTATTTTAAAAATGCGACTGATTATACTTTTCACCATTGTTTTTATTTCATTGGCTGCATCATCACCAATTTCAGTTGGTGATGGTTTTTCTTTACCAACAATAGAAAATATTGAATCTCATATTGATAATTTATGGACCAATTTTAAAAAAGGTTATAATATTGTTTACAATACAGGTGCCGAAGAAATTCATCGTTTTAAAATTTTTGCTAATCATGTTAAAATGATTGTTCAACATAATATTGAACATGACCTTGGTTTACATACATATCGACTTGGAATTAATAAATTTGCTACATTGGTAATAGAAAATACAACAATAGTTAATATTAAAAATTTTAAAAAAATCTGTTTTTATTTTAGACTAATGAAGAATTTCGTCAAATATATAATGGATATCAACGTAAAAACTATGATCGTTCTCAATATTCAGAGCTTCGTCGATCCTATATTCCTGCATCACCATTTGTCACTCTTCCAGTATCAGTTGATTGGCGTGATCAAGGTATTGTAACACCAGTTAAAGATCAAGGTCAATGTGGTTCATGCTGGGCATTTAGTACTGTATGTAATGAATAAATAAAATTGATAAAAGAATTTTCACGAATAAATATTTCAGACTGGTGCACTTGAAAGTCATCATGCACGAGCAACAGGTAAATTAGTTAGTTTAAGTGAACAACAACTTGTTGATTGCTCAACAAATTGGGGTAATAATGGATGTAATGGTGGTTTAATGGATAACGCCTTTAAATATGTACATGACAATAAAGGTATAGATAATGAAGACAGTTACCCTTACGTTGGCAAAGTAAGATTATTATTTATTAGTAATATATATAATTATAATCGATTGTTTTGTATAGGATGAAGCAGCTTGTAAATTTCGTCGAAAATCTGTTGCTTCAACATGTGATGGCTTTGTTGATATTCCGCATGCAAATGAAACAGCATTACAAGAAGCATTAGCTCTTCAAGGACCTGTTTCAGTTGCTATTGACGCTGGTCAATCATCGTTTCAATTCTATGTTTCTGGTAAGTATATGATAGAAAAAAAAAAAAGTTCATTTTATAATCAGTTTACTTTCTAAATGATTTAGTTTAAAAAAAATATGTAATGTAGGTTTTAAGCTGCTGAATTTTTATGTGTTTGAAAGAAATCAATTGACAATTTTCTAATTATGAATGTTTATTTATTTTTTTTCTAGGTGTTTATTCTGATCCAAAATGTTCATCCGAAGAACTTGATCATGGTGTTTTAGCTGTTGGTTATGGTATTTTAAATGATCCTGTAAAAGGTCAACAAGAATATTACATTGTTAAAAATAGGTAAATGGAAAACTTGTTTTTATTAATTTTAATATTATTAATTTTTTGTTCTATTCTATAGTTGGTCAGCTGCATGGGGAGATAAAGGATATATTAAAATAGCTCGTAATAAGAAAAATATGTGTGGTATCAGCAGTATGGCCAGCTATCCACTTGTTACAGATAAATTCTTAGCAGAAATTGATTTTTTGGAAGAATAATTCAAAATGAAGAAAAAAAGAGACAATTTATAAATATTTTTTAGCATTCTAAAAATTTCAATTCGAGTTTTTTTTTTCTATTGCACGTGATTTTTGATTTATTTAAAATGTAAAAAGCAAAAAAAAATCATCTTTCTATTGTTTATGTTTGCATTAGTTGAAATTTTTATTATTTGTACTTAGTACATAATGATGAAATTCAACTATGTTGCATTTTATATTTAATTTCGACATTCTTCTTCTGTTTTTTTTCTGTTCATTGTGACTATTAAAAAAAATGTAACAACACATTTGTATATATAAACATACACTACGATAATACTTTGATATCAGGTCTAGATTGAAACGATTATTTGTTCAATTAACTGTTTTGTAATGATGGCTTTTCGTTTGATGATTATATTTCATTATTTGCTAGAGATCATTGTAGTATTCCTGATTATATATATATTGATATTAACAAATTAGTAAAATAATGTGGATGAAGAAAATACATAAGACTAGTTACAATGTGTAGATATGTCATTTAATATACTTTGCTTGAGATCTTTGTAAACAATTGCCTTTTTAATCAGAAAAATATTTAGATATTTATCTGATAAAAATGAGCTTGCTGATTCAGTCCATTTGAAAAATAGGTATTTAATTTATATATTATTATCATGAGAAAATAAGTTTCTTAGTTCGGTCCGTCTCAATCATTAGGAAAAAAATCTTTTCAATATTGTGTTTACTATGCCTCTGTATGAGTTGAACTGAATTCCTATCGGTGTTTGATTCGGATTTTCTCTTTCGAAGGGATGATTTAAAACTTCGAGAGGGCGAACACCCAATTTTTGGGAGCACAAACACATCGTACATATTACCATAACCATAACTTTGAGGAGGGCTCTGCAGGTCTTCGGAAGGATGCTGCCATACTGGATAAAATACTAACTCCTATGACACTGTTTCTATTGTTGTTTTATTTAAATTTTCTACCAAAAACAAATATAGAATCTCATGTTTTGGTTTAATAGAAATTTCTTTTCTGTTATCTATTATATTTATTTTGAAATGATGGTCTATTTTCTCTTTTGTATCTATCATTCTTTTTTCTTATAGAGTTTCTAGGTTCAGCATCGTTTCGTCGATTAATTCAGACCAATTAGAGAATTTTTCCAGTTGGTCTGCATAATATTTTTTTATTTTTGTCAAAAAAGATTTCTTCCATTTTGTCGACAGTTTTTTTCCCTTTAACAGGCTGTTTTTTAACGTTTACACGCTTGGTCGATAAGTTGAAGCGTAAATAATAGAGCCTCAAGAATCACTACTTGGTTATTACAATTTAACGTAAAAATACAACTTATAACGATATTTTTGTTTATTTTTAAATAATAACATCGGCTAAGAAGGGGTGTGGGTGTCGATCTTGTCTTAATCAACACCTCACTACACTCGTAGAGGTCCATATCTGTAGGCCTCCCTACACCTTATTCGTTTGGATCATCATCTATAAAACAGTAATAGTGATTCATTTTTACGATGCCTTATCATCTTCTAAAAACCATGAATACTCATTATGTTCTTATTTAATTGAGTCTTAACTTATCGACCAAATGCTTAGTTATTAGAATGTAGTCTGCCAATGTAAGAAAAGTTGTCAAAAAAGAACGCGGAAAAACTTCTGTCGACCAAATGGGAAAATTTCTTGTCGACGGAACAGAATGATATCCATTGTATAAACTCTTCTAAGACGAACAGAACTTAATAATAATATTGGACTGTTTAGAAGAATGTCTAATTGTTTTCTTTTACCGTCTAAGTAGATTGACTGGTATGCTTAGTATAATCATCACCGAATATTTTGCGATCAATCAATGTCTACTTGTTTTGTAGCAGCAGAAGTAAAAACAACTAGTTAAATTTCTCAGATAGATTTTTTTGAAATTAAAAAAAAAAAAATTATTAAATTGATGAAAAACATAAAAATGAAATGAAAATCTTCTATCGTCGAATGAATGCTTATCTACATTTGTTAATTGTTGTTTCTTTTTAAAGTATTACTAATTAGAGCTGATAATAGCTTCTATTAGAGTTTCGAATAGACTATAATATTTCTAATCGATCTAGATCATAGTTTGTTATTTGACACTTTTTTATCTTTAGCTTAATGCATCTAAAACAAATTTCTTCGATTACAAGCTGATTTTCAGAACTATAAGTTGACTTTTTTTATACTCATTAGCTTTTTCCATATGATGAATCTTTGCTGCATAAATTTTTGATGTCAATGTCTAACTAAGAGAAAAGGAAAAAAAGTGACTCTAATGGATTGATTATATTAGCTTCATCGAAAAGACTCATAAGGATTAAATTGAGATAGAGAACGATTATTATTGATGAAAAAAAACAAGAAAGGACTAACTATATTTTCTTCTTGAAATGAAATTTTTTTCAATACTAAGTCATAGCGAATAAAAGAATTTCGATTCTTCGTAGTATAGCCGGTTTTCTTCGGCGTTGTCGTATATTACCGATAAATCTAGCCCATCAAAAGATCCAATCAACGTCAGAACGATAAATGATTACAAAACTTCGCTTTCCTTATCTTTCATCATCAGTTTGATTTCTTGCTTACTGTTGACCTTGATGTGTTATGTATCTTTTTTCTCTTCTTTTATGTTACCGCTACGCAAGGATGAGTACGTAAGACAACAGACATAATTTGAGCGGTAAAAAATTCAACAAGCATCATTGCTAAATATAGTGGGTAATATTACTCCTGTTCGTCATAGTCAGTATTCGAAAAAGGTGAATTCAGGATAAAACGCATTCACGATATTCTTTGATAAAAAAGCTATTTTTTTCCTCGCAAGTTGTTCCTATATACTTGAAACTTTGACATTTATGCACTTCTAATCATAATAGTTAATACATATCACTATTACACAAAAAATATGAAAGATCATGAACATTAAAAAAAAATCCGTGCTTAATATAAAAAGGATGGTAAGATTATGTAGATTTTCAGAGAAAAACAAATGAAAAATAAATTATTAATAATTAACAAAAATTTCTAAGTATAAGTTATACTATGATTGTAAATAGTAATTTATATTGGATTTTAATGTTTCAATCAATCTGCATAACTCATATTATCTACAAGAAGCAAATCACTAAATTTTTTTTTACTCAATCCATTTTTTCAGAATTAAAAGATCGAAAAAAAGGAGATAATAGTTAAGAATGATATAGAATAAAATGAATCACTCCAATATCCGCTGACTATTTTCATCAATAATAAATATGTTTGGCTTTCAATGAAGATTTATGCTGAATATCTATTTTCTACATAAAAAAAGTTAAGCAATTAAATAAAAAATATTAAGTTTTCAAAAATGATCATTTCAGTCAAGAGTATTCAAATGATTATATGAAATATCTAGAATAGTTTTTACTAGGAAAGTCATTATTGAAACAATATATCAATGAAACAAACATAGTTTATTTACTACTGTATTCAAATACTATTCTCATTTAAAAATCTATTGAATGAATTAATGCTTGTTCTCAATTGTAAGTTTTATTGGTTTTGTACACATGAGTTTAGTTTAATTAAAACCAAAACTTTGTAAAAATAGAAGACGTACCAATTCTGCTTGGCACAAAACTCGGATTCGACTAGAGATTAATTTTTATATAATCGAAATAAATAAAATCTGAATAGAATAACTAGTTTTAATCAATAATATTATTTTCTCATTTTCGTAAACACTTTGCAAGTCAAAGTACCGTAGTCTAATCACCCATATTTGTACAACCATCTTGCTTAGAATAACATTATGTCGAACAAAAAAAACTCTCATTCTTGTTTCACATGAATACTATTTTGTTGCACATTTACCTTTATAATCACATGTTGAATGTGGTTCAGACGTTTTTTCCTTTCACTCTATTTTTATTAAATATATGAGTTTAGCTCTAACCGAATTTTAACTTCGTCTGGTCAAAAGTAGAATTCCAATAGAATGACAACAACATAGAAAATCGCTAATATTCTATAGTTGGAATGGACCAATTCATACATGCATTAGACTATACATGCACCAGAGAATAGAGAAAAACCAACACACGCTATATGATAGTTGGTAGGGAAAAAAGACAATATGTGATATATTTACATATGTTGGACGATTTCTGAATATTAAGAAACCCACTAAATATATAATCATAAAAAAGCATCATATAAAAATAAATTCCAGCAAAATTATACTCAAATATTTTTACTGAATTCAGATAAAAATTTAGGAATGATTTTGTATTCAAGAAAAGAAACAGATGGTGACTAATTCATACTAAATTCATATTGAATTATACACTTCGATTTTCATTGCTGTATATAAGCTATTGTATTACATGTACGATTACATAAAATACAAATGTATTGTATTAGGAATTTATTCAAATATGAAAACAGTGTATGAAATGAATTAGAACATACATAGACAATAAAAGCGTAAGTTAAAAAAAAATTGTATACAATTATTTCGATAGCTTCTAACATTCATTGTAATAAAATATAACGATACATGAATACATTACAAACAGATGATACATTTGAAAAAAACATTTGGATATTTCTCTCGGTTTACAGCTTGATTCATCTGCCAATAAATGATCAACACGCGTGTAACATATAAATAATTTTCAAGATGACTCATTGTAACATCATTAACATAATTCCGTTTTTCTTTTGTTAGAATACAAACAATTATTCATATTTAACTGTATAACATAATAATATGCAGTAAGAAAATCATCCAAATGGCAAGCAATATTACCAAGATTGTGCTCAAGTATTCTGCTTAAGTGAAAGATAAATTGAACTAAATTAAATTATATGATCTATTAACAAAAAAACACACAAGAATAATGAGTCCATTTGATTTATCGCTTCGGTCTGAAAGCATAAAATGTTCAAACTCCCCTGATTTGTTTAGATTTACTTTCTGTAGATA